TGTACATTAACACTTGTTTGATCCCAGAGTAACCATACAAATACATGTAAATACATACATGTACAAAGTATTCAAAACTACAATGCTAATGTCAAACACATGATGCATGTACGGTACATGCCAAGTATGAACAAATATTGAAGCTGTAGTGTCTACCATGCAAATACCGGTACGTGTACATGTACATGTATGACTACATGCATCGTACTAACATGTTGGTCACCAAAAGAGTCCGTCATTTCCATGCATGTACCGGTACGTTTACATTGTAAATGGAACGCACAGAAAGGTTTAACATGTGCGATTTCATGACAGCAGATGTTACGTTTGGAAAGGTTGGACAATGCACGCCCCATCGATACCAGGATATTTGCCAAGCAAACGCTGCACTGTAAAATTCTAACTGCATATAAAACAAACCCAGTGGAGAGTATAAATACTGTACATTTACTGCAGGCAGCCCCAGAGAAAAAAGTTACATGTACATGTAAACGTGACTTATGGGGCCGAGGACTGTGGTATTTGTTGATAAATAAAAATTTATGGAAAAATCATGAAAATACCTGTAAATTAATAGGGACCAACACGACTTTCAAGTGACGTGCAGGAAAGGCATGCGTACGCGTTTCATGCTGCTTGGACACTGCAATAACTTTACAAAATTGTACAACTGAAGAACATCTTCAAATACAACTAAAGTATCCATCCTTAGACACACCAGTTGTAAACCCTTCATGGGCATGATGTGCATGTACTGGAACACATAATGTACGTGGACACCATTTAGGTTTTTTGGAGGTGCATGTACATATGTACACTGTGTGAGTTTAGCCTGCTCAGGGGCACAGGAATAACCCAATGTTGGATTAAGTGTTGGGGAGAAAAAAACTTAAAGTGTAATTTTCAAAGAATTTTTTTTTTCATGTTTTCTTTGTATTAGAAAATGTGGAGATTTTAACTAAATGTGATTTCTCTTTTATTACGACTGGAATGAAGAAGCTCACAGACCGCCATCTGCATAGGCCCCTGTTGGTTACGACCCTGTGATGGCTGGTATCATTGTGCGCAACTGGAACTGGTAAATGGACAAAATTCAGGCTGTGGTGTGTCATTGATAACTCATTAATATGTGCACAAAGTCCTACCGAGGGCAGTCCAATTGTTTCCATCGACCTGATCCACTGGACTGTGTTGTCCGTATGGCGGAAATGAAGACCGCTGTTCTGTGGACAGACCAAAAGAAAAATAAACATGTGTAAGCATTAATCACAGAGTCAATCAAGCATGGAAAACTTTGTGTTGCATGTGTGTTTTGTAAGGTGCCAGGTTACAAGGTATCGGTACCAGGCTTAGACGGATGAAGCTATCAGTTGGTACATGTACATGTATACACGTATCTTAACTACTTGGGTACAACTCTACCCAAGAGCAGCATATTGGTGCTTTGGTAATGCAACACCAACTTCCCTTAGGCCAAAGTAAACCATTCAATTCAATACGCACCCATACAAATATGCACTATCATTTTACAGGTACATGTACAGTGCATGTATGTAGGATTGAGGAAAAGTGCATAGCACAGGTACATTGGTGATTTGTGCTTAGTACATGCACAAGCGTGCACAGATGCTGTCCTCTCATCGCTGTGAAAAGAAATTGTAAGATGCAATTTTTTCCCCAGTAAACAAATTAAAAAACAAACATTTTACAAATAGGTTTCTGTAACCCTAGCAAAATATTCATAAATACGGGTATATGTAAACGCACACACAAAAGCATGTGGTGCACACTGTGCACACGTACATATGCAAAGTGAAACATTACATAATAGTAAACACACAAGAAGTGACTTATAAACAAGACTCTCTCACATTATTTCTGCTGCTTTTTTTACAGCACCTGTACTTTTTGAGTTATACGCGTACATAAATCTAACAGCGAAGAGCTTAGAATTTTTCCCGAAGCCCCCAAACACTCAGTGTTTGACTATTAAAGCTCTTGTTGTTGCTTTTGTTTAATTCTTGATCTGAGAGGATTTGATTTGTATTTAGAAGAAAATCAGGATGTTACCAGAACACATAAACCACATCGTTTCTTGCTTACCTGATATTACAATTTTCAAACATGTAAAATTGCTCAGAAGAGAAATGTACATCTATGATGCGGGTGTCTATTTTTTTAAATTCCTCAGCATTCAAAGACATGGTCAATCATTCATTAAGTCCACTCCACTTCTGATTGTACATGTATCGGTACGTGTATAGCAAAACCTATGGATAGGTTACAGTAGCTACATGTAGGTCAGTGCGAAAATGACAAAATGAAAAACTCTACAGAATTTGAGCTGTAAAGAAACATAAACATACTTACATGTACATACTTAAGTAATATACACTGGATAACAAAAGAAACTTGCCACTTCTGTCAAAGGCCACAAATAAAAATTCACTCCATAGAAATAAACAATTTTTGTATACAGGTATGCTGCAACACCCCTTACTAATCACGTGCCCAAAAGCAAGTGATTATCTTTATAACAAAGAAGAAATTGACATGCACAGCAACTTGGTTACTGAATCGAAAGTCACACACAAAAGCAGTCTCCACCAAGCAAAAATGACCCATGAATGGACAACATTTTAAACAACCAATGACAAAGTGAACACCTGTTTTGTCAAAATGATGTGCATGAGTAGTTTCGGTATAGGGATGCCATCCTCACTGACTATGCATACACATTATTGAAAAGTATTGAATGTGACTTCTTTATTTCGTCCTGTGACATTGAATTCAGCGTAAAACTTAAGGCTCATTCTGTTACATTCTGTGACTTTTGATTCAGTAACCAAGTTGCTGTGCATATCAATTTCTTCTTTAATATAAAGGATAATCACAAGTTGCTTTTGGACATGTGTTTAAGGGGTATTGCGGCATACCTGTGTACAAAAATGGTTAATTTCTATGGAGTAAATTTTTATGTGTGGCCTTTGACAGAAGTGGCAAGTTTCTTTTGCTGTCCAGCATACATTGTACATCAACATGCTTGGTCTTCAAGTGGTTTTTTTTGGGGGGGGGGAGATTTAGAAACCCATTCTTCAACCCCTAAAACCAACCAACAGTAAAAGTCACAAGCCTTGAAACTGTCCAGAAAACAGAATTATACTGCAAGCTTTTTTTTTTATTACTGATGGCAACTGACACCTCCAACATGGCTATAATTACTGAAGTTGGACACGAGGTCAAAAGAAAGCTTATCCACATGCAACAATTTAATGAAGTCATTCCTTCAAAGACAGCTGAGTCAAACTTCCACATGATTAAAGAATAACTTGGCATTTCCTTGGAGTGTGATGGCACCATTTTCTCCAAACTCTTGTCTTTCATCCGATCCCCATCCATCAAGAAACATGGGCCACATCTTGCTTCCGATAAAATCTCCAGGGTTTTCTCCATTTTTTTGTTGGTTTGTTAATTGGTTTTTGCACCCTTACAATGTACGTATGCAGTCAGGCTGATGAAAGATTAGGGGAAATGAATTTAAAAGAAGGAAGATAGCCGTTTATGAATGTGGCAATTTTGTACATGGAAACAAATCGCCTGTGCTCACAATGCATCTGGAAAAAGTCATAGTTACCACACACACCCACACACAAAAACAAATCCAACACACACACTTCCAAAAAAGAATAAACAAATCACACACAAAAAACCAATCCCATTTGAAAATGCCTGTGAAAATGATAAAAGTGTACAAAATGAAATGAAAGTCCAGCTGGCACTAGAAATGCTAGACATGTTCCAATACAAGTACATGTAGAAACCAATGTGCATGCAAGTACATGTACTGTACATGTACGTAAACATTACTCTGCCAAATTGAGGGAGAGGGGTAGCCTTCCTTACACTTAAAAAGTCCTCACAGAATACTTCAAAAACTCAAAACGGGAGTAGGGAGCTGCCAGTGGTAAATGCACACTCCAAGTTTATTATTCTTGTCAACACCTTTATTTAAATTGTCCAACATCATTATTGCAACTGATGTCACCGGCCCACTGTTTATAAAATAAACATAAGAAAAAGCCTGACCTACATCCCAACATGGGAACAGTACATCAGTACTATTTATTGAAAGCACAGAGTGTACAGCATTCTGTGCGGTGTGAGTCATCAATTGTTAAATAAGGAAATGACTGATGAAGATCAATATTAATGGAACTAATCACGCATGTAGCCTGACGAGATGTGCTTACATGTACTTGAATTGATCTGTTGGCTTTCCTGCATTGCTTACCAGTTTGAAAATTCTTGAGAAAATTGCCTTATAATGTGAGCATACATGAACACACCATACACTGTACACGTACATAACATGGGCGGCAGAGGGTGTGGATTTGGCTCAGTGAATTGACATGTACAGTACTTGGAAAGTTTTCATGCCAGGCAGATGTCATTTTTTTTTAATTCTGGGTTTCCCCCTCTTCAGTTAGATGTTTGAAACAGCTTGCATAAAAAGCCAATGTACGGATAATGCAATTTGAATGCCACTGAGCTCCAATCCTAATAACCAAACAGATGTACATGTACATGAATGTGAACGCAGACTGGGCGAAAGAATTTTCCAAATTTGCAAATCATTCGTAAAACAAATACATGTACAAGTATGTTAGTTTATTTTAAAAGTCACCACTCATACAATTGGAACTTTTTCCAACAGTGAGGCAGTGGCCCCCTACCACAAATTACATGTTTACAATACACGCAGTAAATGTCCACATGCATTGCATTCAAGTAGCGGTAGGTACATGGATCACAGGTAGCATGTACGAATACTGTACCAGTACATGTACAGTACATGTACATGCACACTCCACACTGTGCACACTGGGTTCAGCCAGCCCACACCTCATTTTTTGTTGTATGGGACCACTCAAGGGTGAAACCCAAACCCATCAGGAATTCCTTTCTATTTGGAGCGTCATTTCCACTGCAACAGCTACAGTACAAGCACCTCCAAATAACCATGTACATGTACACACTGTACATGTACATCATCATATGTACACTGCACCCTGTGGGCATTTAGATTTTCATTTTTGGGTTATGGCTCTAACCTACATGTACAGTACATGTACATGTACATAACAAATACACTATACAATACCAACCAGGTAGTCTGCTGGCACCCTGGGGGTGTATGAAGAGTGTAGTTTCCATTCTTGCTTTGTTTAGAAGTTAAAGATACATACTGGTGCATGTGTACTTTCTGCAATGAGCTTACGTTTTTTTTAATGGATAAATACTCAGAATCACTGCCCACTTGTACCATAACGACAACAGTGTGCAGTATTAGGGGGCACAATCTGTGAACAAAGTGATTAGGGAAACACAGCAATAGAATAACCAGATTAATTTGATTTAAGAAGATCATTTACTGGAGCAGGGGGCCTTGCTTTCCGCTGCTGTGGGTTGACCAACAGTGACATCCAATAGACCATTCGTAGCTGTAACCATGCATCGCAAGCATAAACGAATGATCATATTGCACCAGTAGACCCGTGGTACCATACTAAATGCATTTCAATCAAGTAACCAATAATATCATTATCAATTACTTTTACAACGGCTTGCAGAAACAAATGTACTGTACACACAAATTTCACGTGATGTGCAGGTAGTACATATGTGAATTAATAATTTACGAAAGTCAATGAGTTGCTTGAAGTGCAACATGATATCAGGACAAAAGGTTGAGAAAAAAGTAGAGAACAACTTCAACGGGTAAACTCTTTCCCTGGAGCAGTACGAAACTTCTGCATGTGAGCATGTGTACATGCACTGTTCGTGCATGTGTTACTACTCTACTGACAGAGGAAGGTGGGGTCATTCCATAAGCATCCTGTTGTTTTGAACCACAGGATACCACATTCAATAACATGGTGCCTGGAAAAGTGCGCCTGGTTGGTTTCAAACGGTTTCTTAATTCCTATGCAAACATTTACATGTATCTACGTAATACCAGGACTGTTGTTCACGTGATAATTTAATGCATGCGTCATCGAATGATTTCAAAACCTCCCTGTCCACTCCCAGCAGATAATGAAATGCAAACTTTTCCACAAATGAAGATTTTTGAGTCTTTCCTAATCACAACCTGAAAGGCAATCTGAATACTGTCTCTGAAATCATTACTGTAGCTGAGATGTTTGCAGGGGATATCGATTAAACTTGTCATTCCAAAATTTATGGTAAGAACAAAAAACCTGCCCATGCCACTTGTACTTGTAAGTATTAATCAATTACTACCATGCAGAGTTACAGGTAGATGTTTCATACAGCTATGATATTACACTGTATGTGCATGTTGTCTTATGATTTAAGTTTCAATTCAATCATTTATTACTTTTTGATTTTTAACAGAGAAAACTTTCATCAGAACCAGTATTAAGGAAGGTCATGTTTTAATATGTACAGGTGCATGTATGTGTAGTACACTGTGCCTCAAGGTACTTTTATGATGACAACTACCCTACATGTAGCAAAACTGTAACAAATGTTCAAGTACCGTACATGTATTGGTACAGTAAAGAAGGGAACTTATCATTTTAAAAGAAAATTTTTTCGGAGGTGATCAAATCCAGCTTGGCCCGGACAGAACTCACTTTGTATCTCGACTGCTCCTTGTCATAGATGCGCTTGAGGGGCACCTTTTCCGGGGCATAGAAATGAGCCAGCTTGCCCAGGTACACGCCATTCCTCAGCCCCTCCTCCAACTCGGTGGTGGGAGGGAGTTCCTCGTTTATGCAGGCCTCTATCCACCTGATGATTGGCAAACAAAGGAAAGTAAAAAAAAACATTTGACGAATTTTAATACAAGTACCGGTACCATCCTACAAAAATGTGTGTTGAGGCCATTTTTCCAGAAAGTTTATCCCAGTGTGGATCAAACAGAGCTAAGTGAGATTTTTCTTCTGATGTATCACTCATTTAGTCTGGTATCCTGATGAAAATCGATGTTATGTGAGTGAAATTCAGGTGCATGGACATGTACACATGTACAGTATGTTGAGGGTTCCCATTGGTTTCCACAAGACTCTGTTGAAGGCCTTTCACTTTCAGGATTTCACTTTCAGTGCTGAAACTGGAAACTGCCACCTCACATGACGATGTTATAGTAAGAGCAAGCATTTCAGCAAGAATGGGGAAATAGTGGCCACTTGTCTAAATCCAGGGCAACTTCTCTACATGTACATTAGACCAAAAACTACTTTACTCTCTTCACACTGATTTTTTCCAAAAATGGTAAAAGATGAAATGAGTGGCTGTTACCGTAGGTTAGTCCAGAAGTGCACTTTTTTCACTTCACACGCAGCTTTAACATGACTATTCCTTGAATGAGGAAATGCTGACACAACATCATCAGAATCGATGAGAAAATTGGGAGATGAGCTTATGTATGCCCGTAGTGACGTGTGTTGCGGTTCAACCTAACTTTGGCTTGCCACTAAGCTGACCTACCCTACACTACAGTTGACTCCCTTTCCTCTGAACTGTGTACATACATGTACCAGTGCACGTACAGTACACTGTACAATCACCAACATGTAACATATACAGTACATTACATGTACATTGTACTGTAGAGCATACAAGTTTGCAGAGTACAAGTTGTCCCTCCAGCGGTACGGGTAGTTCCAGAAATTAGGGGTACAAAATTGTGGCATTTTCGTGTCCCTCTTACACCTGACCTTTGCTATTTCACATGGAAATATGTATCACCAGAATTGATTTCAAACTTTTACTATTTGTTTGGCAGGTACCAATTTGCATTCATTAATCACCCTTGGAAATAAGAAATTTATGTGTTCTGAACTTACAAAATCATATGTCAGATGTGACAGGGACATGAAAAAAATTGGATCCGCCCCTAATTTCTGGAATTACCCATATAAATATGTACGCGTAAGTTCTGAACAAAAACCACCATGAAACAACTATCGGTAGTAGGTAATAGATACTGCAACATGTACTGTACATGACGCACAGGTACCAGGCACTGTACATGTACAGTGCATGAACTTGCACTGCTGTACACATTCTGGTTAAACCGTACCAACAATATTGCAAAATATCAGTAATTGCACATTCATTTGCGCAGCTCATTTCCATACATGGCTCTATTTATGCATACATGTACATGTACTTCCTGTCTGCAGATCCCTTACATGTAAGGTCAAAGTCAGAGATCAGGGGTCAGGACACTACACAGAGACACACCCATCAACTACTCCAGCCCCCATAAACACTTCCAATACTTCCTCTAGAAATGATTCAAACGACCCAAATGACATTTATGTGGAGCCTCAAAATGCTGGTTACGCAAAATGCATCCCCAAGTACCGGGTAACTACCGGGTACCATACATGTACAATGTACATGCACATGTATATCAGGAAGTCCGATGGCAAAAACATATGGCATCAACTGTGAAATGATTTTCGCTGATCATTCCCGGTTTATTATTAACAAAGTAGACTCTGGGACCACTGACATGGAAGCAGAAGGTCCTATCTGGACTTACAGACATTTCTGAGAATGACAACATACATAAATACATGTACAACGCCTATTCAGTTTGGCACTGGCATGACTGCTGATTTTGAATGGTACATATGCCAGTAACAGTGCTGTGGTAACTACTGCGAAATGTACCGATACTGGTAACCAATGCCAAATTGCTTTGTACCGGTACATGCACATGTGCTGTTTAAATTTCTGGTATTCATTACTGGAATAAAAACTAATTTCATGTAAACATGTAAACACAGACCGAGCAATTTACACATGTACATGTGTACTTACATGTATGTACCGTACATGTACATACAGTATTTAGTCCATAGATTTCATGTACATGTATATACCGTATACCGGTAAATGTACCAAAACATTATTGTGACATCAAGTCCCCACAAATCAGTTCAAATCTTTTCCAATAAAAGAAATCTTCCTGATGTGCACATCTGGTCAGGGCAGTACCCTGGTACATGTACTGATATTTTTCCACTTTATAAAGGTACCCCCCTATATGTAATTTAAACAAAATAACAGCGAGTAAAATTTATTGAACACACAAGCACGACAAGATGGGAAACTGACTCAGGCTTCTTCCCTTTCATACAAATTAGGCCATAAAGGTCTGAACCTGTACGGTACATGTAATGTACTTCAAATGTAGAAACCATTTCATCGAGAGAGGAAGGAATAAATAAAACTAAAATATACCCATCTGTTTTTTCTCCTTTGCCTGAAGGTCATGTGAGGTCAGCCTGCAGTGCAACCCTGATAGCCTGTGTGTTGTTTCATGTCCAGACTGGTTTGATTAAAGTTACACTGCAAGGGCACAATGCCAGCTGGGACTATAGATGGATGTGCACACAGTGTTTGTATTTGTCTGGGTCACAGATGTGTCAATACTTTGTGCACCATGCCCCATTAATCCTAACAGTCCCAAATCCTCCATTAAAGGTCATGAGACAGCCATGTACATAATATGTACTGATACATGTACTGATTTAATGTACAACTGCATGATACAGTACATATCGGTACATGTACATGTACTGTACCTGTACCAGTACTTGGTATTGCTGGAAATTGTCATGGCTTTTGACACCTGTAAAGACCCATTCAAACTTCCTGGCAAATGAGAAGATGAAGCAAATTTGATGTCATAAAAGATTTGCAGTGCAATTTGTTAGAATTTGCTCCCTCCCTTCCAACATCTCAATTCCAAGTTCATGTTAGCATTCGTGTCAAGTACTGCACTGTATAAACCGGCCTCAACTTTGTAAACAGTGAGACTATAGTTTTTGTTCCAACCATGTTCTGACCAATGTGAAAGCTATGCGTTGTGCCTTGCCACAAAGCGCTTGAACCCTAAGTTTAAGAACCGCTGCTGTGCTGAAAGTGAAACCTACATGTATGTGAATGAGATGCCACCTGAAATTATGGTCAGACACCTGACAGTTTTGGACCACCTTCCCTTACTCTGTCCACACAACAGTCAGTGGCTGACACTTTGTACATGTACATGACAGCTCAGCTGACCTTGACAAATGGCAGACTGAAAAAAGGATGATGTCAAAGCACTGTTGCATCTAATTTTACCCTCTGCCTGTGTAGTTACAGGTATGGTGTCTCCTGGGATTAGTCCCTGTACCAGTATTATGAAAGTTCACATAATCCTGGGCTAGGCATGCTGTTGAAACCGGTGTAGATATCCCAACATTGATATTAACACTGGTGATTAGAGTAAATGTACTGTGTACATTAAGGTGCTTACTAGTAGGCTGTGTTGAAAATTTCATACAATTATCAAACAAGAATTATGCAGGTACCGGGGTACCGTACATGTACATGTATAGTGTATATGTATATGTGCATACACGTAGTGTAGGCAAATAAGGTGATGACTATGAAAAACTACAGTTGACACTATGACCAGTCTACAAATATGGAGCAATTGAAAATTCACAGTCCATAATAATTCCTAAAAAATTGAAAGCCAGTTACTGGTATTAAATCAGCAACAATATTACAAAGCAGCATTTTTAGAGGTATTTGAAACTCTGGTAAAGGAATGAAAAAATTCACACTGAGCCTTGTGGAGATCTAACCAACTAAGAAACAGACCGGGGAATTTATCGTAGGTGCCACACTTGTCAATTTTTAGGCCATAACAATGCCTTACAGGTATTTTTAAGACGCACATGTCAGCCAGTGTACATGTAACATCAACCTGTTGCAACTTCCTCTTGTCGTAGCAAATTTTCCTGTAACCTACATGTATCAAGGTACCGTATGGTACACACAGAGAGCAACACCCCCCCCTCCTTTGCTAAGTCTCTCACAGGAGGAACCGAAACCCCCCCTTTAATCTGATTCCAAATACTGGTTCCACCACATCACAGCTTCCCATCTGGGTCTGCATGGGACCGGTTCCTCAGGCATGACCTCTAAAGCCTGGTTAACACAAAATCCGATGAGTCACACCCTCCTCCTTGCCAAGCTCTGCCCTTGAGCCCAGGAGGTCAAAAATTCATTTATTTTGGGTGGTTTCCATTCAGATCAATGCAAGGGCCGGCCCAGGAGCAAGATCCCCTGCTGCAGTTGTACCTAAGGTAGAGATTGTTTATGTCCCAGTCCATACAAGCAGATGATGCAATGATCAGGTAGAGATTATTTACAGAACCATCACTGTTTACATATCATGTACTGCATGGTACATGTACATTGTACAGTACACTACTGTACCACACTAACTGAGGAAAACCACCTGTTGTCATGGAAAGGGGGTAATTTCAGAATTGCATAGTCCACAAACTGAGTCAACAATGGGAAAATGTTTTTAAATCTCACAAAAATGCATCACTGTGAACTTCTTTTTGACGGCCACGATTCAATACATTCTTATAGTGCTGAAGCTCAAGGTGGTTTTTTTTTAGCATACTGAAAGATATATGCAAATGAGATCAACAGCTTTGGAATCAATCAAAATTGAATACCAACCTTGACTTTGATCTGTGGACGGCACTCCTTGAATTATTTTAGAAAATGATTCAACGAGGCTTTGCAAATGGATAGGAATGTGTTGGGGAAGGAGTTGGAAAGAGGAACAAACAAGTTTTGGAGGACGGACCGTGTCCTCTTGTTGGCTGTAATTCAACTGTATCCAAGGCAAAATAAAAGCCACAGTCTGACCCCTGTAATGCCTGTATCTGGTATGTCTCATTCTACCTTCATTCAACGGCAAACATAGAACGGTTACACAGATGTCAAACTGGTATATAACATTGTACAAATGTGCAGACCCCTCATTCTACCCACTGTAGTGTATATTCCGGTAGACATACACTGTAAACACGGTACGTGTACATGTATGTACTGGTATGCAATTTTGATTCCCCATAGGTAAAAACACACATGCACAGTGTATGTACAATAAATGGCATTGTTATGTCTTGGATACTGTTATTTCACTGGTCGAGTAGGGTCGTATATCCAGTTTACAAAAACAAAGTTCTGTTTACTTCTTTGCACGATTTCACATACCCTGTACACATACATGTACATGTACGGTACCCACTCCAAGGCTACCAGGACACTGTGATGATTTTACGTACAAAGAAAGTCACAAAACCAGGTCCAACTTGTTGACATGGGTATGAAAGAAAACTACAGTAGTCGAATGGTGCAATGGGGGACATGCATGCATCTGCCTTCAGGAGGCATGGCACCCCTGACTATTCTCAGAGTATTGCAGGTTCCTCGAATGTAAAAATCTCAACATCTCACATTACAGTCAGTCAAATGTGAACTGCTCTGTAAAAATGAGTCACAAGTCACTGGAGCCACTTTTGAGTTTTACACTGTATTAGATTGAGAAATTTGAGCTCTTTGGTTTGGTACATGTACCGGTATGTGTCACTCAGTTCGGTATGATGAAAGTGGACAATGCATCAATGTTAAAATGTCGAGGATTCCTCTTGCTTAAACACTGTGCAAGAGTTTTCCAAAGGCCTCTGACTCAAAAGTAGCTCTGGTGACACGCGACTCATTATGGCAGAGCAGACAAATACAGTAGCTGTATAACAAAAATAGACCCCAGACCTGGATGCAGCTTAACTCTTTGAGTACATAAACCCTCCCACCCATGCAAAGTGTGGGAGAGGGGGGGAAGGAGGGACAGAGTGGTGAAGATGTTGGCTGCACTCACTTCTTGGTCTCTTCCAGATGGCACAGGTACTGGTAAGCGATGTTCTTCATCCGCTGTTCGTCCATCTCTTCCCCGGACGCCCGCACTGGCATTTCCTCATGTTCATCTGGGCAAGGAATGAGGGTTGGTGAAAAAGTTTTTTAAGAATTCTACATAACGAGGTTGTTGGCGAGAAGCCCTCAAAATATGTTTCAATCATTTGTTTGTCGGTTTGTTTGTTTGTTTGTTTGTTTAGTTGTCTCTTAATTTTCAGAATTGATTATCCAAGTATAAAATCTGGATTCAAATTTCTCCCGAAAGGCCTCTGATTCAGTTTAAACAAGCTGAGATTGAAATCTCATCTTAATTGAATAACTAGTTGATTATCAGATACACTTGTACTACATGTACCAGGTACATGTAAATGTATTTTGTGTAAAGCTACAATGTACCTGTACATGGAAGAATTGTGGCTACAGGATTACAATGATATCCTGCAAATTCTAACACTCACATACATCAATAGGTGGAAAGGCTTGCAATAGCACCAAGCGAAGGAATATATCTCTTATGAATATGTGTGGTTCTTTTTCGCCGTCTTTCACCATGAAAAGCCCGAAATTCCATTCACATACATGCAATGTACAACATACATTTTGCATGTAGCAACCTTTGTCAAGTGTACATACCTGGGTACATGTTCCATTATGTACATTTAATTAATGAAGGAAAGAAAATACATTCCTCCATGGGAGTACAGAAACTTAGAAGTGGACCAAGTGAGAAATACCGGTAGGACTCTATTACTGGTTGCAAGGTCAGTCAACAATTCCAAACTCTGAAGCTGAATTTCTACATGTACATTCCAGCCACATCGCCTGCCCCAGTTAGTGTTGTACACAAAACCAAAAGATACAGGTACCGGTAAATAAAAAGGGATGAAAACTTTGAGAAAAGGGACACCAGCATTATTGCAAACCAGCATTGTCGCAAACCAGCATCGTTGCAATCAAATATCATTGCAACCCAGCATCGTTGTAATCCAGCATCATTGCAACCCAGCATCGTTGCAATCCAGCATCGTTGCAACCAAGCATCGTTGCAACCAAGCATCGTTGCAACCAAGCATCGTTGCAATCCAGCATCGGTGCAATCCAGCATCGTTGCAACCCAGCATCGTTGCAATCCAGCATCGTTGCAATCTAGCATCGTTGCAACCCAGCATCGTTGCAACCCAGCATCTCAAGCTACATTCGCAAGTACCATGAGCTGACGGAAGGATTTTCATCTTTGTAAGCACAGAACACCTCATTCTTGAGCACTCAAAAAATAATGTACACGGACACGGGTGCGTTTAACATGTACCGGGTATTTGCAACTTGCAAGCACTTTGCACGTACATGCTGGTACAAGTACCAGAACTGAATGAGTGTGGGACAAGGCTCAATGACTGCCACAACTCCTTTACTGGTGCATTAAATTCAACAGAGTTTACTAAAGCAATGCATTATCATGTACTGTACCTGTACAATACATATACGCGTACCTACCTGTATATATGTAGCATCTCATTTTGAAAGGGGCTTAATAATGCATGTAATAGTACCCTGACAATGTCTGGATACTGTTTGGAAGATTTAAATAGCTTTCTACACCACTGTCACTTCAATTTGCGTAGATAATGTCATATAATGACTGTGTAGTCAACATTCAATTGACATTACATGTATATGGTATGTGGATATACATGTATGTGCACAGCGGATTAAATTTGGGGCCTGGTTTTTAACCATAACAAATGTTTCCTGTTCCAGATGAGAGAACGTGCAGTACGTGCGTACTTCTGTCAACTGGAATCTTCACATGTGATACACGTACACTGGCATGTACATGTACACCCACGTGTCGAAACAACCAGTACATGTAAATGTGTGCTACATGTACATACATTTAAATCTGTGATTTCTTCCTTTTCCCTTCAAAATGCAAAGAGCCCTCTAACTTGAAGGTATAACCAAAATTCATGTTTTGTTTGTACATGTACAGCTGCAGCATGCACATTAATTAAGAAGGAAAACTGCCAAGTGGTACCGGTAGGGCATGTTGCTGGTAACGAGAAAAGCATGACTTGCATTCAGCTTTAAGAGGGCAAATACAGGTATCTGTGGGAATACACAATTGTATACACCGCAACATCAGCAGGGGCCAAAACTTGACCAATTACAGCCCTAAGAAGTGATTATGCACGATGCTTTTTTTATAAAGGCAAGGAAAAACATAACATACATGTAAGTATGCTCTGATGCAATCTACTGGTAATTGAAAACAAATATCCCAACTTTGCTAAAATGATACATGTATCCCAATAGTGTCATCTCCTTATTTTGCTGTAGTATCAGTTTTCAAAATGTTCTTTTTAAAGCAAAACTACCAGCAGAGATGTACAACGTAGAGTTGTAATTTCAAGCAAAAGGAGTTACGGTTACACATTAACTCAATACCTTTAAAAAGGTGAGAGACAGTTTAATTAAAATGTACATGTACAGTTGTGTACTGCCCACCAGTCTCTATGCATTTACTGATAACCTACATGTTCTATTTGCATTCTTTTAATAAAAGGACTGTACTTTTGTAGTTCAGCCATTCCAACTTGAACTTATGTACACGGTAGGTACACGGTAGGTACATGTACCAGCAGTACCGGTATATTGGTACCCTGCATGTAGCCTACCACCATGACCACACCAGTTTAGGTGCCAGAACAAATCCATTTCTGTACACCTTGAAAAGAAGCAGAGGCTTTCTCAGTTGGGTAATGGCTCTTAAATTCATCCTGAAAGTCAGGATACAGTCAAACACAGATACATGTAAGAAGAGCACCGTTAGTACAAGGTCATATTTATAACAAGGACAATTTTAGGTTCCAAGTCTTTGTTTTTCAATAATGCAAGGTACCGGTAAGGGTACTGTCAAGGACCTTGTTTTAACAGTGATCCACTGTACATCTACATGTACCATAAACATTTAAGATTTTTCTTGTTTTTTTTTTAATTTTTCTTATGATTTAATTAATACTGCAGACTGTTAATAATTATATGAATCTCATTCTACTGGTGCATACACCTTACATGTACAAGTACATGTAGATACATGTACACGTGTACATGTATTTGCTGATTGCATGAATTTTCTGGAAGTTCAAACCTTTTGCCATGAGGTGAAAAAGTACTGAATGTCATATGAATGTTTGCAAATGGGACTTCAGTAAGTTCAGTTGAACATGACTGGTTGCAAAGGGTGTTAATTCTCTGTTCAGTTGACCACTAGCATGGTGACTGTTCACAATAAATTTCTATGTCACATAATGGTGTGTACATGTAATGTATGTACCTCTATGCTCTAACAGCATTGTCCTACATTGTACAGTTCAGTACCACCAACACAATAGGACTGAACTACACTATATGCGTACATGTACACATGAATGTCACTGAGCACGCATAAATATGCAGCATGGCCACTTGGCATTCCAAACTTCAAAAGAAATGTTAAAAAACATTATCGTCAGCCAGGAACGATCATCCATTTGTCTGAGATGTGGATGAAAATATCGTGCAATATTTGAAAAAGAAACATAAAAAAGATTTCTAGGGCATAAAAAGAAACCCTACATATAGATCAGCACTGTCACACAAGAGTACATGTACATACGGGTAGGTACTGCGCATTATTTATTGTATGCAAAACATGCAAGTACATTTACATGTACCGGTACATACTAGTACTATCGATATATGGGCCAACACGTGAACTTGTGATGATGGCCACCAAATGTGAGACATATTCAGCAGTGTTGCAGCACACCCCTTGCCTTCAAAGCATCCGACAGTACATGTACTTCAAAAGCAAATTCTTAAAAGGGCCAATTCTGGTACAGAGATCAAAATTCCAAAGGATCCTGTGATGTGCTTTACTACATGTGGAATGATTAAACAGACTCTTACAATCCTGCTTTTGAATTGATTCCAAATGGAATGAGGAATCACACACCCTGTTTCATTTTTCTATTAATAACAACATACATTTACTACATATATTGTACATGTACATGTACATACCGATATGCATTTATGCCAGCAGGCAAATTTCAAGTTTAAAAACTAAGTTAGAAACTACATGTAAAACACACGTACTGGTAACAGTGAGCGTTCACATTCTAATTATGAACGCTTGCCAAAATTCTCCATTGTATCCAACAACAATTTTCCACATGATCTCTCCTCTAAAATTTTACATGTACAGTACCGGTACATGTGCGGTGCGTCCATGTAGACCGTACATACGTGTTGCAATAAATTAACTTGGAATTTCCATTTCTGCACACATGCACATGTACTTGGACTGTACCTATTGCGTACGGAAAATATCAGGTTTACTGTCAAGTCCTGTTTCAAATATAATCATGTACAGTACATGGTATGATATGAAAACCTGAAAAGCAACCCTGGAATAGTTGTGCTTATTGGGTGCTTTTAATACTAACGTGAAAAAAAAAACATCTGAAGTGACCCGTGTGAATGATTAACTTGTGCAAGTCTGGGCACAAGATTGCTGCAATTTATAAATAGACGTACATGTATGCAAATGCGGCCAGATGCATCCATGCCCAGGATGGATATTAAAACCCAATTTACAGACCAACAGGGTAGCCAGCTGCAAAGGTAATGATGCATGACCTTGATGCGAGAAATGGGATTAATTTTGCATGAGCTCCATGCAGCTGAGGGAGGAAAACAAATTACTGAGATGAAATTGTCTGACATTCTGTCCAAACTGTCCAAACCTATTCATGCTGGAAGGGGGGCCACAAAGCTTTGTGGCCAACCTTGTCCAAACAATTTTTTTTCTTTTATGTTTTACATGTGCATGAAACAAAGAATGTCACAACAGTTCCTTCGATGAAAATGCAGCCTTTTTTCCTTTTGTTTCTATCAGAATTGGAGGACAGAGAACTGGTGAGGTCAAAGTTTCAACTTTTTTCCCCAGTTTTCAAAGTAAAAAAAAAAGAAACCAAATTCCAAATTTCTTCTGTAAGGCTGTGAGGCAACAGACAGGCTTCAAATATTGCATATGATGAGAAATAAATGGCACAGTCACTCAAAATGTATTCCCCAAATAGTAGGAATCCCACTTGTCCACCTGAAAAAAAGTTAATATGTTGCTTGATTTTCCACACCCTAAGCACATTTAATTCAGACGAGCTAGTCCAGAATCATTACAATAATGCATACATGTATTGCAGTACATGTAGCAATTCAGTTCTCCTCAATGCATTTCCAATCAGTCAACCGTTTTATCAGTCATACACATGAACTTAATTAGAATGCCATCATTTGTAAGGAAAACAATCTCTACCAGACGGGCCAACAGACAGCATGGCTGCAGACTCAACAAGCCACCCATTCCTATACATCTGTGTGAGTCACTTCAAGAAATCTGTGTGGTAACAAGTTACTTATCTGCTTGCCCAACCTACTGTAGGCACCTGCCCATGGTGGGAGCATGGGGCTACGAAAATGGAGAAATCACACAATTTTTGAATATGGAGTGGCAGGTCATGCCCGTTGTTCAGTTTGACTAAGTGGGATCCTATGGTATTAGTCTATCTTATCGGGTATTTATATGTACTGCCTCGGCATTCTAGCCGACTGTTCAAAAAGCGTAAAGAGAGACCCAGTGCAAAATATTGAAAGTACATGTACATGAGACCGAGACCACGAAAAACTGGTCTCGAGACCTACAACACTGACACTTGTGAATCCGAACATCTTCGGATTACAAAAAGTATGGACAGAAATAGGGTGGTTGAAGAGGAACCCATCATAAAGCACTGCTTGCAAGTATGGGCCCCTTTAACAAGTTACTTTGTACATGTACATCACAGTACATATATATATACATGTATATATAAACTAGACAGGGCAAAAACAAATACACATTCCAAACCAGTCTAAACCAGGAGAGACTTATCATCAGTGTAAATGTTCATTAAAATTACTTTTAGGTTACGTTTAAAAGCAGACAAATTCTTTGATGCTTTCAAGGAGTCTGTAAAAGAGTTGCATAACCGGGGTCCCTCATACATAATTTTTCGGAGAGAGAAGTACGTATCCGAGGGAGATGAAAATGGGAGACCTGTCGAGTGAAATGGCTGCGTGAACCTCAACATTCTAGCATGAACCTGGTCAATTTTGATAATTTGTACACTTAGGCCATGAGAATGAAAGTTTTAGATTTGCGTCTGGAACAATTTATAAAGAATGAGGCTTTTTTCATTATTCATTATTTATTTTAGCAAGATACCTTGCTACATGTACCTGGTATCCTCTGTGTCCTAGAGGCCCTGCGTATGTAGAGAATTTAATTGTTACTTTTTGTAGTACATGTAGGTATGCAGAGGTACCTAGGTGAGTGCATTTTACTGCTGCTTTATGATTTAGGATTTGGAATGTTTTTGACTGCAAAAATAATTGAATTTTACGTAAAGAATGATTTTTTTCGGCGGGCTGTTTTGGAGCATGTGGGCGGTGGATTATGGAGGCAAATCTAAAACTTTCATTCTCTTGGCCTTAAAATACAACAGAAATAAAAACAAAATTTACAGCTGATAGCCCACGCGTAGTCGTGACCTTGTTCATACTGAATGTAGGCCTACATCAGACATGTTCATGCATGGATGAACGTGATGAAGTAAGGCATTATTAAGACACGGGCATGACGGACAATTTAACTGAGTTCCCAGTCATCACTTACGGTCATATTCCGCAGACACTCGCCCATCAATATCATCTGCTGTGCCGTTCAGCACATCCCCAGCAGTGCTAGCCATCTCCCCCGGCTGGTTTGAGCAGGTTAAACTATCACAAAAAGCGGTCAGACCAGACCCTGGTACAAACACAAACAGCTACACACCGGGGCGTGTGCAAGTTGTGGTACTGTATAGTTCGACTGCTCTCTCTCACTGCACTCAGCTCAGCAACAGTGTTAGCGCACGGTAACTCCTTGGCTACTTCCGTAAACCTCCCTGCTATTCTGCGCTATTTATTTACCGGTAGCAGCGTTCCAAAGTCATCGTCTGCAATGCATCACTTCCTACCACAGCTCCAGTGAGTATTTACCCTACCAAGAAACGCTCCTCACAAAGGGGGAATTTGGATGATGAGACTCATCTAATCATCCTGAATCTTCACTTCATGCAGGTGGTTCGTACCGTTGTGTTGACGTGTACGGCCACAATAGCGCGCGCCTGCAATTTGATTGACTGGACTGCCCGCCTCCGACACGTGGTATTCGGCTGGGTTAGTACGTGCCACATAAGTGGCTACTGCGTACCATTTTTTATTAAACTTTTACTTATTACACGCCTGCCCGGTGGCAAAAGGTGGCGTACTTTCGTTCTGTAACCCGCGGACATGAAGTTCAGAGGGCTTGAAAAGATGCGTAAATTCAACAAAAGAAAAGAACCGTTGGAATTTTGAACTTATTAAAACATTTTCGTGGAAGTTAAATGATGCATATTTACAACTTTCTTTTAGTGCTCTGAGTTTAGCCTATTGTGGAAAATGATTTCGAGAGGGGAAACTGAAGGTGAAAAACGAGTTCTTTGTTGTTTTCAGACAATGAAGATTCATTTTCATCCCCGAAAGCAGTGCTGTAACCGAGTAATCTTTTTATGAGTCACACATCTTTTCCAACAAGTCAAGTGATGTCACGTGTTAATTTTTCGTAAGTGAAGTTGCAGTCACGTTATTTTTGCTGAGTCGCAACCCATTTCACAAAGTCAATTCAATACTTGCGCACTTCTCCCCGACATCTGTGCCCGAGTTTTGCAAAAACTTTTTGAATCGTTTGCCTCTTTTTAAAAAATCAAAGGCACAGATACTTCGTGGTTTGGTTTTGGCCACTGCAATTTAAGAGCTGGTGCAGACAAAAGTATGCATTTCCTTTTGTATCAGTAAACGTTGGCAATAAAACTGTTTAGAAACGACGAATACGCCGAACCATCAAAAAAAATATCTAAATCTCCACCTGGAGACGACAACCCCCTGAACACAAATTTCCAAGAAGCAGTAGACACAAGTTCTGGTTCATGTATACACATTAATTGTAATGTTTAAAAAGCAAAACATAGTAAAATAAGAAACGACATCATATACAATCCACCTGGCACATCTTATTTGGGCCACTGACTGGCCAATTATATCAAATTTCAATCAGTAATACACACATTCCAGATTCAACTACTTCTAGGCTACTAACTCTCTCGTTTTTTTTTAAAAATAAAGGAATAAATGTCTTTGTGTCATTAGCCAAGAATACAAAGCTATGTGTTGTAACAGGTGTTTTTTGTGTGATGATTCTCAGTATATGTAAATACTGTCGGGCTAATCATATCATAAAAGTTCCTTCTTTTTCCCCCTCATTTTGTTTCAAATCAAACCACACATTGTTACATCACTAAAAAGCCTTTCCATCAACAATCCTCATGGGTTAGTTTGTTTGTTTTGAATGATTTCCCCCTCTTTACCAGTTTTTGTGTAAGCCTTACAATACATAATGTTTCTCTATACAATAACACATTTCTAGTAAAGGCATATTGTCTGGCATTAATATCTACAATACTGTCGTATAAATTTGACAATTTTGTTGGCCGTAACACTGTTTTCACATATCTGCAAAAGTTATATACACGGCAGAGCTAAGACCATCGTTTTTTTTTTCTTTCTTTTTCTTTTTTATTATCAACATACTCAGAGCTGCAACTTCTGCTTGAAAAAAAAGACAAGCGAAGGATTTGGGAAGCTGAACTTGGATGACGTGCCATGGAAAATTCAATATAAGACTTAAATTTAAAGTGTTGGTCTGGGGTAGATTGGATGGGGGTGTGGCTCTGTATTTTGGTAAGGAGAGGGGGGAAACACAGACAAGGGAAAGTCCGTCTTGCAATACTATGAAAAGCTTGTGATCTGTCTTGAGACTGGATGACCTCCTGATGGATTTGACCAACAACACTTGTCAAGATCCTTCATCCCATTCAAGCCTGATTTGTCTTTCCTCCCTCCTCCTTATTTTCCTATGTTTTCTTTTTCTTCAAGTTTTTAATAGCTGTGTTCGTTGATCTTTCACAGTAAAATCAAGGTGACTGTAGAATGGTGCTACCGAGGTTTGAGAGGGTTCTTGACTGGACAAGTTCAGGTGATGACAGAGAGGCCTGGTTCTGGTCCTATCTGGCCAGTCGCCTGTTCTTTGGGCCAAACCGATAACACCCAGTTCAACTTTTGCTTTTCCAATCAATCATACATGCTTACAGAAAGATTTCTGTGCTTTACAAACGCATAGCCCCGGTGAACAGTTGCACCACGGCAATTAATGCAAAGCAAGCAAAATCCATGGTACTGAGCCTTTTTTTTTTCGGAACTGCTACAATTTCCACGTGGCCAAACATACAAAACTCTTGTGAATTCTTGTGTTTCTTGTGAGGTAGGCTACATATAAAAGTTTTGAATTTTAAGGGGATATTATTTCAAAGAGGCTTTGATACTCAATTTAATTCAATCACCTACAAGTATAAATTCTACCTCATCTAACAAAAGCTACTTTTCATCAAGATCTTCAGGAATCAACCAAAAGCACATACTAAAACAATTCAGCTGATAAAAAAAATTACACATTGTAAGACTTTAACCACTCGGTGCATATCAACAATGAAAAGTATGTTCATAAACTCACTATATCTATGTTAATTTCATTCAAAACTTCATGAGAAAAATTGCACATTTGTTTGTATTTTTCAGGCCAACATACAGCATTTTGTGTGTGTATACTTTGATAAGTGTAAAAATGACAAAGATTAGAAGAGAAGGTTTGGCATCAGCTTCCTAGCTGCAAACTGTAATACGGGCGATTCACCATAGTGCGCCACCAAGAGTTTGCAACGCGTTGGCCAATCATAACGCGCAAAATTTGTCGACCCTTTCCAAACCCGCATTGGGTCGACATATTTCGCGCATTTTGATTGGCTCACGCGTCGCAAACTCTTGGTGGCACATGATTGTGAAACAGCCGCATTAAAGAGTACCTCTACCTTAGAGCTGCTCTTTAACAGGTATGAAACAAAACAACCGAAAACCAAACAAAATTCCACTGGCTATCACGTACTAATCAGCAATAGGTGGGCAATACAGCAGGCAGGGGCCAATGCAATGAGGCCTACTTTCCCAACTGTGCCTGCAGACCCATGGAACTAGGGCACCTGCTGCCCAATTGCGAACATGTCCCAAACTAAGACGCCAACAGATTATTTTCTTAACTGGGAGAGCGGGGTTTCCATCAATACACCGATACAAATTTATTTCTGCTTTCAAATTATTTACAAAACCGTGCACACACACACAAAACAAACCAGCGGGTAAACTTAGCTGTATTTGGAAAACATTTTCAAAAATTTTATGTCCCCTATAAATTTCAGGGAACAAACACAAAATGCACAATGTGAACTGATGCAAGCGACAGAAGGAAAAACTTGAGCATTGGTTTGTTTGTTTTTCTTTTAAAAATCTACAAAACAAAACGTCTCTTGAAATACTGCATTTCATTAAAAATTCCAATGTATAGATTTACATCAACAGTGGTTGGGATATCCGGCATGATGATAATGATAATTACAATAAAATCTGTACAATACCTATACAAATGTTTTCATTCAATAGACATCTTATTCTACATAATCTTTTATACACATAAATGTATACAGTCTCTCTCTGTGGCTGGATATTTGACATTTCTTTGTAAAACAAAAAAACCCCTTCCTTTGCCATCTTAACTTTGTACAATTTATCAAATATGTCAGAACAGAGCTTTAACTTCTGCACTGAACTCTGTCGTGCTTGCTTGTATTGAAGTGGAGTTTGCAATTTTCTGAAAGGATATGCACGTTCTGGAGAAGCCAAGCTTAGGGGCCTTTCATGTAGCCGTGCATGTAAACCTTGCCTCATGCAGAGGATCAAAGCTGCCAGGTACCTTGAGGGAATCTGCCAACACCATCTGTTATTAAGTACTTCAGGTCAATTACAGATGTAAAGCAGAACAGAATCCCAGAGTCATATTTTGGAGAAAGTTATCAACACCATATCGCATTTCCAGTCCAAAGGAATAAGTTTTGGCTTTTTGTTCTGGTTTTTTTTTAATCCAGTGTCCAACTATGAAAAATCTGAAGAAATAAAATCAATAAGTACAAGCATTTATCACAAATGTACCAAAGTATTTGCTCAGCAAATGCACAAAATATAGCTTACAAAATTTGCAATTGCAACTTTTCTTTTAATTTTCTGTCTTCATTTTTATATTCATTTAGCAACATTTGTGTGTAAGTGGCTGTGGTAATTGTGCTCAGAGATCCAGTAAAATTTCCTTACTCCAATAAGGAAACTATCAAATAGCTTGTGTAGTTTCAGGGAAATTGTGCTGGCCAATCCCCACACACACACACTGGCTTACGTGCATGACGACCAAGGCCCTGAATTTCATGAACCCAATGGTTCCGACTGCACAAATGATGGGATAGGTGTCCCTATCAACCACTATCAATTCAAATCTCTAGTGTTTCAAGTGCCACTCGAGTGACTAAAATGGAGTGATATTCCTTCAAGAATGCGCAGTCCTGTTTTGTTAGACCGCAGAGGAAGGGCATTGTTTCCTACTGGTCCTACCATGCAACACACCAGAGGACAGAAGACCGCCAACCGAGGACAAGGAAACATCCTTTCCTCCCTTTGCACTCGGTCCCCCCTGGTTAAGTGAAACATATTCAAAGTTCCACACTTGTACCCCAAAGTCAACTAAGTCCAAGGCTGCAGTTTCAACTTTAGCGTACCAAACTAAAACCACAACCGGCCTTGGTAGAACATTCACAAGCCATTTCCTGAATCTGGTACGTGCTGCATGAACGACTGTAATAGTTAGCCAAGGTGAATTCCTTCACCCAGCCAAAGAGGGAGACCATCAACAATGTCTAAATTTGATTTTTTTTTTCCATCTCTTTAAATTTCTTTACACATCTCTCAAATATTGGAAAAAAAAAAGTTTGAGCACTATGTCAGATTCGTCATCACAATCTGTACAACACTTGGATTATTTGAGTGAAAGCACTAATTAGAAAAAAGGCCACAAGAAGACAGAGAAAAGTTAGACACCAGGTGATGAGTGACAGCAATGTGTACACTTAAGCCTATACAAGTCCTTAATGCCTGTACAACTTTGAAAACTAGAGACAGTGAGTTTCAAATGCATAGAGGGGTCTCAAAATAGGTGATTTTTTTCAGTGACAAGCCAAGATTATCCTGGTTTACATTACCCTATACATGTACATGAGAGGTACTTGGAACACGGCATTCTAACATGCTGTATCAGAACCTACAAAATACAGGCAAACTGTGTCATGCATGTTAAGTTGGTTGGTTGTAAAAAGTGGCATACTATTAACTTATTGACCAGGCGTGCTACTGGTTCTTAAGGTTGAAGCCTAAACGTTTTGGTCCATTTGCGAAAAAGAGCCCAGTTGAGAAGCGTATCAAAATCATTTTCAGCTGTAACACCTTGCTTGGGGGAAGCCACCGTGAAGCTGTGGCTACTTCCCGTAGACCCGTGTCTTAGTCACAGCTGTAGCCAGTCAGTCTGGGCACGACCATGCACAGCGCACACAATTTGGCTGTCCAGTGCTCTGACTGGTCTCACGTTTCACCCACATGCAAGATCCAAGACAATTTTATTACCATTAACTTGTTTATTTCACTCTAAACAGTCATACAAAATGAGCATGTACTTTTGAGCTGGCAGTCAATAAATTCATTGACTATCTACATTCTTGCAACACAAGTCAAATGCTGAAGGGAAAAAAAAATCAATGCTTCTTCATGCAGTGTTGGTTATCTACCCTGGAACACGATTACCGTGTTGGAAATAAACCAGGGCCTCTGTGTTACAGCTATCAGCAGCCACGAATATAACCAAAAAAATACTCACAGCAATCAACGTCATGCAAATGGTTTAAAAAGAAGCCACAAATTTTAGGACCTCCAGCGTAAAAGCCTTAAAATTTGATTTAATTTGAAATTCCCCTTGAAACATTTCTCCACTGTGTATATTGATTAATTTATTTCATTTTTAAAACTACTCCCTGACCTCAATTTTCCTTGGTAATTAAGGCTACGAGCCTAGATACCATGCTTGAGCCAACACACCATGCCTGAGACCAAACAAAGGCTGACTGTCACCTGTCCTGCAGGTCCCATGAATCAAACTGACGGACTTTGTAACAGCTTCAGTCAAAACCCCCAGACATTATGAGCCTCCCCTGATTATTTCAGTAAAAAATCTGTACAGTCATGAATTTTACGAATGTATGACGTAACTTTAAAGCAGAGTTTCACCTGACGATGGCCCGTCCCTCGAACTTCTCTTTCCTTTCTCTTACAAATATTTGGTCATGTTTTCCCCCCCCAAAAAGAGGACTTAGTTTGTTTGGGTCAGATTCTTTTGGGGGAGGGGGTGTTCCAGATTATCTACATCACTTTGTAACATGTCTGCTGCATTATGAGCATTTCTTTTGGGGTCTATATTTAAAGAATGTATTACTGAAAGAGCCTGACTCCATTAAACTTTTTGGTGGACATCTGCGATTACACTTGTCTTATCAATTTTCATCTCTGCAATTTTCCAGGCAAACAGGGAAACCGAAGAGATGTCCAGCATTTTATTTGGATTGAAAGCTCAGTCCATTTCGTTTTTCTTGAACAAATCTTCAACAGGTCAGTTTCTGCAAAGATTGGCCGGGCAGAATTTATTCTTAAAAAATGTATCATCCTCTTTAGATCAAGTATTGTCAAAGGTAAATAAATATATCAAAAGAAAACGTGAATATAAAGCAAAACCACTTTGATACTGTTTTCTTTCAATGGAGACTCATTACAGCAACTTGACGAGCACACTGACCTCACTTGGAACTTTCCCTTGAACTGCCACAGTTACGCAAGGGCAGATGACTGCCAATTCTCTGATGCAGGGTTTCCCCTGCCATTTCTGATTCACCACAGCCCACACTTCATGTGACACATGGACTAGTGGGCTTGGAATCATTACTCGGAAATTCCCCTTCGAAGGCCCTGTTTGCGCAAGGGGATATGATCTAATTGTCCAGTGTGGCACTGCTAATGAGATGAAGAAAGATTCGGTTTTGGATTGACTTCATGGCACAGCACCTAAGAAACAAAAGCCGCAAACCACACAAAAAAACCAAAAAACACTTGTCCTTCGTCTGATGTAAGCCTGATGAATGGATTGAACATGCCAGGTTGCATTGGCCACAGACAGCTACAGGTAAAACAAGAAAATTCAGTGTGGTGTCTCTTTTATGAGTTGTCTTTTATTTTGACATAATAGTTTATTAAAACTTCATGAGACACCACCAGTCAGACCAGACCATCATGAGCAAACCTGGGCATCTGAATGAGTAACTGAGATATTTCAGTGTTTTAATGGAGGGATGGTAGATACATGTAGGTTACGTTGTATCAATTGCTCCAGGCTGAACATGTTAAAAGGCATCAAAACTGTTTTATCCATTGTTAGTAACTGATCAATTTTGCCCAACGCTTTCAGCATAAAATACCCTCTCTTACAAAGCTCTACACCAGTGAATATTTACAGCACGTCAAGAGTGTAAAAATGTCTGTTTGGGGCATTTCTCAGTGTATGTGGTCACAGCAACGTCTGTACAGATCAAAACTGATAAATTCTTGTCAGTATTTCATGATCACGTGTTTGTAAATAGAACACCAAAAGTCGATGACTCCTGTTTTCCTGTTCCAGTGTTCTTTTCTCCTGCCGGATTAACACAGCCCAAGTTAACAGCCGACCTGCATGACTGACACTTGCAGAGAGGGAAGGGAAGAGATCTACTCTTTAAATACATGAGAAGATTTCAATATTGGTAAATATGCTGCTCTACCAGCGAGCACACAGGTGATTGTCAGCACAAATTAGCCATTGGAAACAAGAAGTATGGCACTATCGTACACCCGACACAAACTACTCATTCTAAAACGTCAACAATGTCAACCCCCCCCAAAAAAAAACGGATGAAATGCAGCATATTAATTCAAAAAGACATGTTTTTTTCTCATGCTAAAAATGACACATTAATGGTTAGTGTTTTTATAATATATGTACAGAATCCATGAAAAAAGGCGATCATGCCTACCAACATTGTACACGAAAAAGAAATCATCCCCAAAAAAAAGAAAAGAATTTTGAACAGAATGGAGACTGATAATTTTGGCGTCGATGGAAGCTGATCCAGATCTCGACACATATCTATGATGAAGCATGTGAAGTAGTAAAATCCCTCTCTTAACTTTTATTGGAAAATTTTAAAACCTTTGCAGTGATGCTGGGACACTTGCTCAACTATTAATTTCCACAGTTGGTGATCAGTTGGCTTGGTTCTGGTCTAGCAGGTCATTATCCGGACACACTGGCTTTGGCTGCTTTTTTAAATTTGGCCTGGTATCCCTTTGACTTTTCACAATTTGGCTCCCTGTCTGGAGTCACCAATTAATCCATGTTTTGCTACATGAATACCAAAATGTACAAATGAAACTAAAGTTGACAAACCAAGGCATGACCAAAGACAAAGATTTGCAAGAACTCCAAGCCTTTAGTCAGCATACTAAATGTCAGCATACTTCACTGAATCATACAAATAAGGCCAGAGACCAAGCCAAAGCCACAACTGATGTCAAGTTTCAGGAAAGGTTCCTTGCTTCAGCTTCTCTTCTGAAAAACACAGTTTAATGAGGCCAACGACAAAGTCAACGCCACTGAGGAAGTTTGGGTAAAGGCTTCTAATCTGTGTCAAATATCTACACATTTTCTTGAACCACGCAGTTGTTGAGGCTCCAGAGCAAGCCAAACTCATGGAGAAAGTCAAACTAGCCAGATACCAACACACTATCTTGAACTACACAATTAAATGAGGCCAGAGAACAATCCAAAACTACATACAAAGTTGAGTAAAATGAGAAAGGCTCCAAACCTACATTAGATGTCATCACTCTCGAACCACAAAACTGAATCAGACCAGAGACCAAGCTGGCCACTGCCAAACTCTGAGAAATTATCAGTCTAAACAAGTTGTCTACACACTTTAACCTGTGATCAGTTGGGTGCCAAATTGTTGTTTGCTCACGAAGCGTCACTCTCATAAAAATCTATTGATTAATTGAGAGAGTGAAACACAGCTTGCTGCTCAGAGAAATTTACTACCTAGTATTTTAACGCAGGCTGGAAAAGTCACAACAGCAAGAGTTTCATAAAATCACAAAGTTACGCATCACATACTGCTGAAAACTCCAAACTCTGAATCTCCAAGACATAGTTGTTCTCAACTGGTGCAGTGCAAAATGCTACACTGGAGTTGACGTGGAGTTACGCTTACGAAGGCTAAGGGCCAAAATGCCTGATATTGTGTTCTGTTAGCCAATGGCACTCCATTCTATGAAATTCCGATGAATACGGGCGATTTATAATAGAGCGCCTCCAAGAGTTTGCCACGTGTTGGCCAATCACAATGTGCGAAATTGTCAACCCGTTCCAAATGTGCAGTGGGTCGACAGATTTTGCGCACTGCGATTGGTAAACGCGTTGCAAACTCTTGGAGGGGCTCCAAGTGTGAAACACCTGTATTGAATTGCTGAACAAAAATTTCAGTGACTACATTCATCGACCCCTGTTTTTGCTGCGGTTGAGACAACAAAACATGTGAAAGACGGGTCATGCTGCACAGCGGCACCATTTTAATACCTTTTCCGTTTTTCCCTTTTCCTCTCTTGATCTTACTAGAAGTTAATGCCATGAAATGGCTGACACATGGCTAATGTCTGTACAAATGGAAATTAATAACATGGAGATACCAGTGCCCAACCATCCTGTAACTTAATGAACACCACTGGCCAGGCTTTCTTTGCGGAGATCACCACTGACGGTTCACAGTCCAACATTTTGTAAGAAACAGGGGGAAAAAAAGCCGATTTTTTTTAACATTATACCCTCAGCCTGAAATCTTTGTATATGCAGGTTAAACTCAAATCATGGACAGGATAAGGCAAGGGATACAATCCTGATCAGTTCTAGAGTGGAATTTGCCTTGAAACTCTTTTTAAGATATATAACCATTTTATCACCAACCCATTTTGAGTTCTGATGAAATCAGGTGATATCGAGCCCTGGTCTAATTTCCAACAGGCCTGCCGTTACTGCAAAGACCACATCCAAAACAGGCCATTTGGTCTGACACTTCACACTGGAGCTTTTGTGCAAATTCAGGTCTGATATATGTTGCATCTCCAGGCGCCAACAGTGCACAGCATATTGCAGACCTCTGGGTTCCAGACCGAAAAGGTTTACCAGACCACTGGCCACTGGATGCAACTGAGGGCTCATGACTCAAAATAACACAGGCAAATTAAGAACAATGCACTGAATGAAGAAAAAAAGCGTGTCAATTAAACCTGGAATGAACACACTGCTAAATATCTGGCAATACATTTCCCAATCAGTATTTTCCAAACTGCAACCTGTGACACAACTGTCTTTCCTTTCATATAAAACACTGTTTTAATATACATTTTTATACTTCCAACCAACTAATCCATTCGGTCGGCTTCCTGGGCGACACAAGGCTTGTGACAGATGGGGGAATCTCTCCTGATGCTGGGCTGCACAACTGGACACCAGAACTCCAAGGAATGTTACGGTGTTTTGTCTCTTCCTGAAAAAAAAAGGGGGGCACTTTTCTCCACCTGCGATTTTGTCACCCAGTCACAACTGCTGTACAACAGCCATGACGAATGTTGGCCAGTTTCTCCCCGCCGCGCTGATACTTCAGTCTGAACTGCACGCTTTGTCATCTCAATTTTGCCACCTCCCCCCCCCAAAAAGTCCACCAGCAGCATCGGCTGTTCACCTGTAAAAATTCCAAAATGCACATTTACATCCACCCGGCTTGACAAGTAGGAGGTTTAACTAGGCTTGCCCTTGTCCAGAGTGCATCAAGTCTGCCTCCTTCTTCGATCATAAATCTCGTCGCACCAATCCTTGCAGCTTACAGAGAATCACAGAGCAAAACGACTTAAGCACTGAGACCAGTCCCGTCCGAGTCAACAACTGGAGTTCTTTCACGCAGTATTCCACGACCGACCGGGCATGTACGTCTTCCCAACTGTCAGCAGTTTTAAACTGACTGCACAGAGTGGATGGAGGGGGGCCATGGTTTGATTATGCCACACGCTAGAGAACACCAGCAAAGAAATTGATACTTCTTCACGTCACAGCAAAGCCGGCAAAGCTCTGTCCAACTTGTGAATTCAATGTCCGATCCTGTATGAGTTCGATTATCGCCGATTACCAAGGGTCACAAAGGGGCCCCTGTATAAAAAGACTGCAGCAACAAGGATCTATCAACTCACATTTTCTTGGCACCCTCTTTTCCTGGCTTCCCCGCAAACAAAAAAAACAAGGAAAAAACAAAGCCCATGAAAAACAACACTGTCCAGGCTTTTCCAAGTGGCCGGTCGTCATCACACATCGTACCTGTCCAGCCGGAATGAATCTTCCGTGGCCTGGTCAGCCACCAAGTCATTGTCTGTCAACATCTGCAGGCTGTCAAGGTCCAGCGGGTCCAGCTTGAAGCTGTCCGTCGAGAAGAGTGGGTCCAGATTGTCCACGCCAGCCATGGCATTACTGATCTCTTTAGCAAAGTCCTGTCGGGGCGGCGACTCACCAGTCCCTGGGAGGAACACAGAGGACGAGGAACAAGTCTGATAAACACTGATCAAGACACAATACAAACCCCAGCTCCATCTCTGACTTGCTCTATTTTGGAGAGAAATGAGGAAATCATCCTTCAAGGTTTTTAAAATTCTCTCTGAAACAAAAACTTCTTGGTAATTGAAAGTAATCTTACAGGTACCTGACAATGCTCCCATTGACAGGGGATTTTTTGATTGGGAATTTTAATTTCACCTTGCCCAGTCAGATGAATATCAAAATCGAAAAAGCAAGGTAGGCTTTGCTGTAATTTTGTTTCCATTTGATTACTTTGAATTTGGGAATATTAATTCTTTGTTTTTGTTTTGCTGTATTTGACAGCATGTGACTTTAAATTTCACATTCTTTAACAGGCTTGTAGTTTCCTAACATTGATCACCAAAATCATGCATGCAACACTGATCAGCACTCCAGCACAAACACACATGTACGTCACATTAAACTTGTCCAAACCACTGTTGCAAACTGCATGTATGGTGACCCTGGAAGTGTTCACAGATAATTAAGTGCTTGTCGATACCACTCCATACAAAGTGTGCAAAGTTGGTTTTTCTGCAACAATTCTGTGCATGTGCAAAGACAAGCCTCTTCTGCAAATTAAAACACGACACCCTTCAAATTTCTGTTTCGCTGTTCTTTGCAGGAATGGAAACAAGGATCAAAGAACGGTGTTGACGGATGGCACATGTATAATCTGAGATAGTACATGTATAATCAAGCATGTAGTGTGTGATTTACACGTGAGACCTACCGTCACAAAAGAAAACATTCAATGCCAAATAGAATGCAAAAGCATTTACTTTCAAAGAATCATCCAAGTCTACTAAACTGTGATTTAGCGTTCAATTCGCAGAGCAGGAATTTATAAACACAATGAATGTAATTTGATTTGTTTTGGTTTCTCTTTTTGCATTTGCGATAGAAAGCTCTGCACATATTTCCCCCCAACATTTATTACTATCAAATAGTACCAAATACAACTGTAGTTGGTATTTGGTAGACTACTGACTACAACTGCAGTTTAATGATGTAAATCACACAAAGTTTACCACGATAAGCACACTGCCACCAAACCTGGGACGAGAATCCATGTAACTTGTCTTACCATTACTGTTGATGCGTTGCTATCAAATTGTGCTTGTCAGAGAAGGGGGAAGCTGAGGGCCCGATGTTTTCAAAGGTCGAGGGGGTGAATAGCCACATTAATTTGGATACTTATCAGTTTGTTGGTTTCAGAGTAATAAGAGAGATTCTGTAGAACTTTGTTGAACACTAAAGCTGAAAACATAAAGATAATTAGGGTTCAGACCGAGTATGCTTCCCTGCGGATGATTTCTGGCAGACAAATCCACAATGAACCTAGAGACGGATTCCCACCCCAGGCCACACAGATATCACAACACATCTTGCACCAAATGCCACAAGGTACTCGACACTGTACAAGACGTGAAAGGATAAAAGATGGAGGCGCAGTTCTCTTACCGTCAGGCAACCCACCTGTCAAGATGATATTGGGGATGTTGCCGGCGCTGGGCTGCATGAAGGCAGAGTGGGGGTAGGCCGGGGGCGGCTTGTTGGGCTGGAACAGCTCCTGGGCGTCCACCATGTAGGCCTGGTCGTAAAAGGCGCCCGGAGGGGGGAAGAAGAGGCTCTGCTCTGCCTCACTCAGCTGGTGGTTCTGATTGTATGGGCCCTGGGGGATGAAAAGCGGGGCAGCGCGGGGGAATGGGAGTCAAGCAAGAAAATCAAAGGGTTAAGAATCTGCACGGCCCATTGCACGTACAAATGTATTAGAGATCACGACACTCTCAGAGAAAATCTGGCTGCGTCTACAGGTTCTTTGTGCCATGCAAGTGCATACTTGTACTGGCATGTGTCCCCCCAAGCCTACCCCCCTCAAAGTTGGCAAATACTCGCCATTTAGCAGCGATGGCGTCCAACATCTGGGACCCCAGGCCTAAACCAAGTGTGGTTGGATAATGGACAATATAAAGAACTCAAGAATTTATGTCCAATAAGGGTATCTCCCCAGTGTTACCCACTAGTTCAACCCTTCTCAGTGTCTCCAAAATCCATCAAAAAGGTTCAGGAGTATATGAGAGGAATGAAGAAAGCACAGCCCAGTCACAATTCCTTTTACACAAGACTTGATGCTCCTTGGAATTTTGCCAACCCAAGTAAAGACACTGACTGACTTCCTACGCAATGGAGGACTTGGAAAGGTTGCTATATAAAAGCAAGTCACCTGGGGGTTGTAGGTCAGCTGCTGGCCCGGTGTGGGTGAGCCGACCTCCTGCTGCCCCAGCATATTGCACTGGTGCTCGAACTGGTGCTGCAACTGCTGGTAGTGGGCGTCGCTCATGGCCTTGTTGGTGGGCGAGCCCTGGGGCATGGCCGCCGAGGGTGAGTGGGCAGGGGAAGGCGAGCACTGGGGGTTGGAGACAGGCGAGGTAGGTGATGTACAAGAGGTACTGACCACGCACTTGCCATCCCGGTATTGCAGGCCCCCCTGGACATGATTGGAGATTTGATAAAACACCACAGTCATTGTACGATTATTTTTAAAGTGACTGTGACTTCCTACTAATTCTATATAGGTAATAGCCTATGAACTATATAGAATGAGTAGGAAGTCTAGGCCACATAGGTGGCATGACTGCAAAACCGGAGTGACAAGTAATGAACAATATCTGCATCTGATAATTACAGTTGCGGCTGGCAGTATAACACAGGGGTACCAGAAATGGATGCATTCACTACCCAGTGTCTTCTGGGGGGTGGAAGTGTTCCTGTTGGCTGTAGAGTCAGCCCATGCACTCGATGGTATTAAGTCATTCTATGCAGGAATCGATTGGACTTGATTCCACTCTAGGAATCACGACCGTGGTGCCACTTTTTTTTTTAACAGGACATCAATTACCTCAAGTTCTTAACTCCCTTCCTCTGAGATTCAATTCACAGTCACCGTTGTACGTGTATAAACAGGGATACATCCTCAAATGTTTTGGTTCTACTGAAACTTATATATATCATATTTGAAAACAAAAATAGACAACCAATCGATCAGTTTTTTTATTGGGAAAAAAAAAGGTCTTGATAAATTGCATGAACTACAAACTGCTACAGGGCACTTTTTTTCCATATTTATTTTCATCAATGAAAACTGGAATCAATTCCAAGTGGACTCATAATTCCCTCCGGCAATCGAACAAATTCGAAAAATGCCAGAATTGCCCAACACAATCACTAATGATGGAATTATAAACCCACGATATCCAGGGAAGCGAGGGAGCATACCCAAAAGACAGTGAGATTAGAAGGTTGGCTGTGAATTATAAGTAGCTTAAATTTGGTGCTGACAGAAGAGAATTTGGGGGTTGGAGGGCAAAACCTTTCAGCTACATCTGAAATAAAGGAACGACTGATGGTGGATCTGTTGGTGGTTCTTGGGAAATTCACACTAATGAAGTTGACAAGCACCTGCAATGGGTCAAATGAAATGGAAGTCAACGATCTCTACGCAGATGTATCTTTCAACGGAAAAGAAACCACTAGCAGCACACAAGGCCATCGAGCAGGAACTGAAAACCCAACTCGGCAGAGTTCCGACTATTGCAACAGTTCGGAGATACACCAGTGCGCATATGTGGGCCCCAAGAACTATGTCAAAGCACAGGCACGGCAACAGCACACCGGCAAAAAAAATCAGCAAGCCTGACCGACCTTTGACATGTCCAGCGTGAGGTTGGGAGGAGCTGCCTGGACCGCTTGAGGCTGGCCCTGCGTGTAAAGCTGCTGGGGATACTGCTGGTGGTGCGCCCGGTGCTCCATTGCCATGGCCGCCGCGTCCACAGCTATACCCTGATGAGAACATGGAGGAAGAGGGGAATGGGGAAGAATGGTCATGACAAAGGCTGGTGTTGTTCAAGCAGACAAAAGAGAGAGAAGCAGTAGCAAGAGCTGCTTCGCGACTTTTCTTGTAGTTTCTCCCTAACCCTCTCAATGCTGCGGTGCCGACTTTTTAAATGCTACCAGTGTCAGTGAGTAGGCCTTTCAGTCTCTGCCTGACTTCGGGGTTTGGGAATTGTTCTAGAACTTTTGTTTTTCTTAGACGGAAGTGGGAGTCCGGGTCAGCCTATGGGAAAGACAAAGGGTGACATGGTTCCTTGGAAATTTGCCCTGGATGAAGGTAAGAGAGGGAATGATGGTAACGGTGGACAAAGGTGCACAGAGATCTCTGATCTTACTAATGAATGTCTGGTGGCAGGGGGGCTATATGCAACACTACATGACATGGGAAAATGAAAGGTTGAAATAAATCAAATCAAGGTGGTGAGGGCTTAACCCTCCCCAGCTTTCTAGTTACATCCATCCAGCATGCACTGAACCAAACCAGTGTCTAACCTGAGAAAAGCAACGCAAAACAAGAGGGGATCTTTGGCAATCTACACACAGGACTGACAGACGACCGAGATACACAGGGTACAGACCTGTCTGATGAAGTGCTGCTGTTGATGCTGCTGCTGTTGTTGTTGTGCTTGTTGGGCCTGCTGCTGCTGCTGTGATTGTTGCTGTTGTTGCTGGTGTTGTCTGTGCTGATGCTGTGCTTGTTGTTGATGCTGCTGCCGCCGCTGATGTTCGTTAGTTGCATGTATCCCAAGGGGGCTGTTGGCACTGTTCACGCCATGACGCCTTGTTATCTGTGGACTTACTTGTGGACTTATCTGCGGACTGTGTTGACCTACAACCTGGGGAAGGGGAAAAAAGGGAGAACGGTGTTGCACTGTTTCATGGAACAATTCAGGCATTTGATTAAACCTTGTGAAACTGTGTGGAGTGGCAAATCCAGCGTCACATGAGTGAAGTCATTTAACCTAATCAATATGCCTTAGTCACAAACCTTACATTCTCCAGTAATGCTTGCCACAAGCACCACTTCTTATGTTCAACACAGCTGGAACTTCCAAGAACCACAGGATTCCAAGCTGCACGAGACTTTCTGACTTAGTCCAGTGCTTTTCAATTTGTGATGGCAGGAACGTTTCAAGAACAAGGAAATCTTCCACACTTTTTCTGCCCATGAAATTCAAGTCTAATTGATTTCCAGTAGAGAAAAGAGACTAACAAGAAACAGTTTCACAGTCACACGTGAAATGCTACAGTTCCAAGCAATACATGAAGATGAACAATCACTGAGAATGTAACAATCTTGCAAGTTTTATGTCGAAATCAAATTAGAAATATGCCAATATATCATGCATTAACAAAGTACACTGTACATTCAGAACATGAGGAACCCTTAAGAGTTTGGAATGCAACTAAAAATTCATTAAGGGACATAAGTACATGTAATTCACAGCGTCTGAATATCCTTTGGCTAAACTGTTCACAGCCTGTTGACGTCACTGCGACACCACAACATGCCGCTCCCACTGTAGATTTGTCAGTCAATTCAGAAAAACACGGCCAGGGTCGGAGGAATCTCTACAAGTTGCTTTAAATAAAGAAACTGACCTGTCTCCAAGAGAGGAGTTTATATACAAAACAGTGTTCCATGGAGGAATGGATTGCTAACCGGTGTTTACTGCATTTAAGGACCATGTAACCCAAACCCCCCAAGGTGCAAATACAAAGAACCTTGTTACATCCAGCGTATTTAAGGATAATGGAGAGGGAACATCAACACTCAGGACCTCCTTGTTGTTTTAACATTAAGTCAAGCACTTTCCTACACACCACGTATCTTGGGGAGCGTGCACTTCTTTCTTCTGCACTTTCACCATGTGTGGGATCAATAGCATTTCTAGGCATCAACCTTGCATATTTTCACACTACCCCGTATCCGCTTGCAAACTAATGCACTTTGGGCCCCTCCTTTGGTTTCATCTCTGACTTATAAATGGGGCATCTTCTCTCTAGAAGCGTGGACAAAGACTACAGTGATTGCTACAACCACCTTGGCTAAAGACTAACCACAGTATCATCATATATCGTCAATCAGAATAAACTCCAACAGTACCACTTGGCATTCTCCTACAGCCTCACGCCCCGCACACTGTGTCAGCTAGTGCCACCTGCGGCATTACCTGGGTGTGATTGGTAGGCGAGGTACTGAGATGAGTTGGTGAGGGCATGCTGCCGGACAGGTTGCCGGGGCTTCCACCCCCTCCTCCTCCACTCCCACCCCCGCCGTGGTTGTAGGCCGACACCTGCTGGTCCTCCGGGTCTAGCGGGGTGGGCAGAGGCGAGGGGATGTGCAGGTTGGTCAGGTCCGGCAAAGAGCCCGTGTTGTTGGAGATGGGAATGGGGTCGGCGCTAGGCTCTGTCTCTGTCTGGTCTGACGACGGGCAGATGCTGTGAAAAGGAGGGGGTGTGGGGAGGGGGAAATAAGGAACGCGTAAGCACGAGATTTAAGAAATGACCATTATTGGGTAACTTCATATTAGGAGCACCCTTATGTGGGTAGAACAACTTAGTCTGGCATTTCAATAGCACGACATAAAATGACATACATCTGAGGTCATTCGGGAAAAGCAATACCCATGAGCATCGTCTGCCCTATTGGTGCAGCCATATGCAGATTCGCATGCGCACTTTGTTCTTGAATGACCTTGCCTTTATGAAATACTGAACGGGCTCATTTTGCTGGTATAGGCATCATGCGCTGTGTGTTTATGGGCACTGTGTAGCCTTGCAATGAAGGCTGAAAAATGGGCAATCAGATGCTGCTGGTTGGGTAGGTTTCACAGGTAGATTTCATAAGAATCGCTCACCCAAGAAGGCTCAGACTGCAAAAACCTAGTCATTGGAAGGCCATTTGTAACTGTTTACACAACACAAAGTCAGCCACAAGTTTGAAGCCACCTAAGAAAATTGCCGAAGAAGGGTAACTTCAGCACTGTGACTGCTTCAGAGCAGGCTGAAATAATATCAAATTCTGGGGATCGGGATAAAATAGGTACACAAAACAAACGTAAGATGTCCTTTTCCGAAAGAACTTTTGTAGATAACGATTGTGAATGGCATTCAGTAAATCGTCACGTCAGTGCAACAAGGTCGTACCGGAATCTTGTGTACAAAACAAATGGAAGTTACGGCCTTGTTACACTGACAAGATGAAATACCAATACACCCCCTCCCCAAAAAGCATCAATCAGTTTCCAAGAGATACCATCAATGTACTTTTATCTTTGTCTCCCACTCTTACTTGACACAAATGCGGCCCGCTTTGTGAAAAGGGTATCAAAGATTGTTGTGCTATTTCACGCTAAGGGCTTTTCTATGTGGAAAGGGTGATTCTATTACTTCTTGGTTTATTGGCTTCTATTATATCAATACTTTCACAGTTCATACAGTTCCAACACTTCCTGTGTTTAAAGGGCTTTATTTCTGACTGACATTACTTCTGTTAATGTGTATGGTATGATTACACACAAAATCAGTACATCTCGGGATTGCAAAATGTTACAGGCTTCAAATCTACACCAAATTAAAGTTTACAATGTAACCAATTCAAATGTGTATGTAGCTCTCTTGAAAAAAATGCCCATTTTTGTGGAGCCAGTCACAATGGTTATCTAAAGCAAATTCTGTGCTCGTACCCTGATTAAGGGGAAAAACTCTTTAAAGTTGGCACAACTTGAGTCCTCCCTCAGAGAAAGAACCCAAGGAAGTGGATTAATTACTTAAAATGCAGGGGCCGTTTTAAAAATTGCCATGATTCACCCTGTTTATCGAAAAAGCCTGCAGGAAAAACCTGTCAGCGGTTTCGATGAAACCACACTAACAGCGCGCTGTAAATGCTGCAAAACAGCACGTCTAAATCTCCTTGTCCCTTCAATCAGGGGGAGGGGGACTGGATTCGAAGTGTGCAGCGCCTCGATAGGAAGGGTAAGCTAATTGTGCAATTAGGCAAATTCGCCCAGCTCCATTTTCAGGTTAATTCGATCGCATGTTGTGACACGTCCAGGATTAAAAAGGGCCCGGATCACTGCAAACTGCATAACACTCACTTTATTCCGGGCACCTCACAGGACCTGGGCCTGGGCTGCATCTGCAGGAGGGGAGACAGGAAAAGAGGAAAAAAGAGAGCTTGTCTCCGATCTCTATAAAGAAAAGGGGTAGCCTCAGAGGGCTGTGGTGTCAAACTGCACTTACTGTGCACAAAAAGGAAGTGGCAAATGTAGACTACATGTACATGTACGTTAATGTTAGGTTATTGGGACCTTCAAAAAGTAGAAAAGGGAAATATCAAAAAGTAAGAAAAGGGAAATATCAAAAAGTAATCAAAACTTAGCCCCACTACATTGTACAAAGGAATCACTTTGAAACCAACATTGAGAGATAAGGGTCATTCTACATGTATAAATCTGAGGTCCGACGTGACATTTTTCTGTCCCTATTAAACCTGACACTGACAGGTGTAATTTGATGGGGATAAATCATTGAAATTGACTTCACACTATGTTTATTTTGGGGGGCAATTAAAGAATGTGTTCTGAACTTACAAATCATACGACAGATGAAACAAGGACAGGAAAAAAAACTGGACCCTAAATTTAAAGAATGACCCGTCAACATTTTACCCAACTTTAATTGATCGCAGATGGTAGTATAGGATACTGCCCACATGAATCTTCACAATGGATTCTTTCCTGAGGAGTCTTCACACATGTGCCGGTAGTTTAAGATACCATTTGAAAAATAGTATCTTGAAGCTACCAGGACCCTTCAGTAGATGATGACAAAAGTGTTTCATTTCTGACTCCATTTAGTTAATCAACACATTGATTATGCATAGCACTTGAATTTTTACCCTGCTTTTTTTTTCCTGCGGCTAAGAGTTCTCTCACTTCATACCTTGGACTTAAAGATATTCTTTTCTCTCAGACTATTCTCATGCAAAATTAGTGAGAATCAATACAGAGTGTCAGTTGAAAGGAGATACAGAATTCCCGGTCATCTTGACTTCCTAAATACACTATAATTTCAATATCCAGTCTTCCTTTTCTTGGAATACTTTGTACATTGCACCGCAGAGGGATGTCCATTATCACTTGGGATCTCAGTGTCTGGTGACAAAAATGCCATTAAGAAAGCACTTTATTGAAATCCTCACTTGGATCCTATGAAGTATTATGGAGACATTTACTGCGGACACACATGTACTTTAATGATTCTAAAGTACCTTCCACTCAGTGCTAAAGATTCCTTGCTTAAAGGACGCAAGCATCAATCAGAACGGAAGCTGCGGCAAATTAAAAAGAATAATAATGAAAGGACAGCACGTACCGGTACACAAACAACATCTTCTGATTCTTACCTTCTTGGCATCCCACACAGGAGTTTTCAATGTGTTACCTGAGTGATCCACCACCATCTCAGCTGAAATGAGACGTTAAAGATCATTTTAAATCCCTAGTCTTCGCAAGTGGACAAAGCTGTCACAATGTTTCAACTAGTGAAATTCTCCCTAATAAAACATGGTAACTAAGGAAGCACCTTGAAAGTCAGAGCGCTCCTATTCCCACTGGAAGACTCCTTCAGGGAATGTGTATTCCTGGAGGGTATTCCCCGTATTCCCATTTGGTGCGTCCAAGTTGGCTTACACACACATACATGTACTGGTAGCCCACTGATTCCCATTTGGGAACACGCATTGGTCTCTAGAAAGAGTAAGTGTTCCCAATTGATGAAATAGGCAATGTTGTGGTTGGAACAGGAGTTACCAATTTGACTTTTGAGACATTCCTTCAGCAATGAAATACGCCAGACTTTTTATCAATGATAATTTCTGTTCAAGTGCATGTGTAATGGAAACTCTTTCAAAGTCAGGATGAGAGGCATGGTATATTCTAGGAATTGTAACATGTCCAATCTACTTCTTGTTCAATCTAATCCACCCTGAGCTGAAGTGCACCCCCCCCAATCGGCGAAAAGAAAGACAGGTGGTTACAAGCAGCTACGCAAAGACCATACATGCCGGAGTAAATTAGTTACGCGTACTCAGGGTGCTCTGTGTCAAACGCGCATACACTTGCAAGCCTCAAGGCGCGCCTATGCGGTGATTACCAAAAAAACACGCCCTCTTTTGTTCCACTCAGAGCGGATAGATTAGACTCATCACAAAAAGGAGTCCTTCTGAAACTACTGTAGTAGCTCCACAAAGATGCAGTTACCGGCAGCTCACAGCCTGTCACTGCGCTGCAGACAATAATTGGCTTATGTAGGACAAAACACACTTAACCTTAACCCCTTAGGGTATATGTAAAAATCATATTGAAAATGGAGGATTTAGGACTGTTTACAAGTGCATGTACATGCAGGTTACCCGCACTTCAGCAGTGTTTCCCTGATGGTCAAATATACACCATGTCAAATGTGCACATTTGCTGTGACTCCAACAATTCGTGACCTGTTCTATCAGTAGCGATGTTATGATATGAATAATCAGCACGCAAACCTGAACCGGTTTTCATGCGTACCAAAAAGAAAAGAAGCAAGCCAGCGTCTAGTGTCACAACTGCATGCAGGAGGCAATCTTTGTTCCGTCTGCATTTCAGTTGAAGGTGGGAATACCATTCCAGCCTGTGTGCTGATTCACAGACAGAAGAAGAGTTGAACTGGTTTTGAGAGTTCACATGATCCACCCCCAAAATTTTGATGTAGGCACTGGGCAATCACTGTCAAGGTGACTGCTGTCCTTTTCTGTATTTGTGTCATGCATACATGTACATGTACCTAGTACATTTCTGCATATCATGCTTGTCCACTGCATTATTAATTGGAAGCCCTCTTACACAGGGCCCTGAGAACATCACTAAATGAGCCAAGCAGATGTCTGTTTTAAATGGAATAGTAGGACAGCTGATGTAGAATTTCTGTGGAAACCATACAGGTGGGGGGGGGTTGGTTGAAGTATATGTCTTTTATTTTCTGTCCTCTCTTGTTGCCTTATCGTGTTGCCAATTCAAGGAAAAAATCACTGTTCTGGCCTCTTATTCTGGCTGGCTGTAGTGATTCCTTGTTCACAATTTTTTTGCTGAATAACTGGGATCAAGCATGAGGTGTAATCCGTTGTGCATGTACGTCACGGCTGTTTCACTCACTCAGAGTCAGCGCAAGAAAAATGGCCTTTTGCATTCAAAAAAAATAACCCATTAGAGATTTCACTGGTACTTTTAGCCTGCGTGGGTACAAATTGCTGGTTATTATTCCTGAAGCTGATAACGGTCTACACAAGGATAAAATCATACAGGTCTACAATGTACATGTTTGTGTAGGTTGGTAACTGCGCTGTTTTCAGTGGGATACACTGAGGTCGCATACCATGCAGAACATGCCACTTATAACATTGTTGCATGTGTACATAATACAATGCTGGTAATATCTTTACTAATACTGATAAGATTATCAGCCAACGGACAGAATCCTGTAACATTCTAACATTTGAAAAACGTTGTTTGGTGTCTAGCAGATTAGCAACAAGCCAATGAATATTTGACCTTAATTGTAAACAGAAACAACCAAATTTTAAGAACGTAAAATTACACATGTAGCATATTGCTGTAACTAGTTTTTACATACATGTAAGTGTATGCTCACATTGCCGCTGCTTATTATATCAGTAAAGTTCAAAACCAATCTTATGATCTACACAAATTTCCACACTGAAAGAAAGTCCACCAACAGGCACTTGGAGAAGTTTCCCTCGGTGAATTTAACCCAAAGGGGAACCACAAAACTTTACGACTGCTATCTCATGGGCACACAGGCACCAACAAGCCAAATGGGCCGACACCTGGTCCGGTTTCTCACGCTGTGCATCTGCATCTGTCAAAATGAATTCGTGCCTCATCCGGGCACCAACCGGATGTGCATATTCAGCAGGAGCTGGGCACTTGGCCGCCAGCTTTCGTTCCCCTGACATCATTGTGCCTCTTACAACACACATTCTTATCAGGGGCCCATCAATACAACACAAGACTGTAAAACCACAGAGCTGAACTGCAGCATACCAGGATTGCTAATTTTATTTATGGGGGGGGGTGGCACACAATTTATACAAGCACATGCACACATTCATCCATGGATGTCTACATGTACATTATGTGCAGACAGGTGCAGGGACACAGACACTGACAACAAACAAGTTACAGAAACAACCCATCACTGCTTGTTTGATAGGGGTTACACAGCACAGTGCAAACACACAACTCGAGTGTTCGGCCCAGTATCTTCCCCCCCCATGCGCACGTGTTGACTTCCCTCTGAATTCTAAGGCAGACAATTATGTTTTTGCAACAATGTGATGGTTGTGGGTGACATACACGTACACTGCACATATTCCTGCACTACAGTGCACATGATCAAAGATGCCTGATGGTTTCACCTAGAGGTTTGAAGTCAGAGGAATGGATGTGCTTCTCTTGAATGCCTTGTTGGATATGGTGTATTTTCGATACCCCTATTCAAAATGCTCACATACATTGTACATGTATAACCCCCCCCACACACACAAAAAAATTAACCATGCATTCGAGCAGCTGCAGTTTGCGTATCAAATATTCAGTTGACAATGATCCTCAAATGAAAGGAACAAAGAAATGCATCAATCTTCAGTAATGAATACAGCCCTCAATACACACAACAACAGATCTCTCTGCACATATTTACAGGTATCAAGCACAACAGTTTTGGAGGCCTAGACACGATTACGAAATAGTGCCACTGGTGCAGTCTCTGACTTTCTGATGAAATTTAAATACAGTACATTCACAGTACCAGACACCTGCATTGATCATTTGTGACCTGTTCCCACATCAGCACACTGTACCCGTAGCTAAAAAATAAAATTGACTTTGTATTTTTGAATTTTCTAGTCAACTGAGCTCTACAGTACCAAGATGTGAATTAATTACATCTCTCTCTGATCCCGTATACCTGTATGACAACTTGTTTTCTGCACTAGCACCTACATGTATAGAATACTACACATATATGTATGTGGAACATCAAAGATGGAAAATAATGTAGATGCCTTAACAACATCTGATGTCAGATCATAAGGTCAATCAAAGGGCACCCTTGTATGGTGAGAGTCTCAGAAGACATGCCACTACAGGTTTAATGAGACCATAAGACCTTCCGCAGCCTGTAAGTAGGGTAGTTCATGCGTGGACATTTAGCAGAATAACTGTGACAGAATGTTGGCAATTCCTCACGGTAATTTTTCACAACTTTTATTCCAATACAACTGCAGCTTAAGAGAAACGGGAAAGAGAGCCGAGGAAAGGAAAAAGACAATCTGAGCCCTAAACTGGGATCTGAGCTACCGGTAGCCCACTTTTTACCTCTTCTGTGCGAGCCCGGCGACATGCCTCCGTGGCCCTGGAATGGATCGATGGGCGCCATCACGCTCGTGTGCAGCGCTGAGTCTGAATTTGTTCTGTAGAGAGCAAAGAATGAAGGCAGAAGGAAAAAATGACTGGTTAGACTTGAACTCAAACCAAAAGCCAACTTTGAACAAAAGCAGCAAATTGGCACATTATCTGCTGCCGGTACATACATGTACATGTACCGTACCGTACATGTAGAGTCTCACTCTCTTGGTTTTGGGCTAAAGGGCAATTCCATGCAAATGTATACATGTAGTACAGTCCTGTAACATGGCGCACTTCGACACTCACTTAACTTTCCTCACACAGCATAGCCAAACCTCGATTGTCTGATATTCAAGTATTATTTTTCTAATTTGAATATTCAAATGCAAGATTCATGAAAAGGAAGGGAAATTTTTTTTGTTGTTTTAAATGAGAAAAATTGCTCTATGGAGGCTTGTTTCAAGCAGATTCAAATGAAAAGCGTCAGAAATCTTTCAAAGATTTAAAAAGTAAATTATTCATTAAACAATTTTAAAGGAATAGAAATTTTCAACAGGGCAAGAAGTATTGTTCATCTCTTAAATCTTGATAAATCGTGGCTGGAGATACTCCTAGATGTGAGTAGCTATTATATTATATTATATCATAATGTACAATTGTGTGTTGTTGCAACTGATTTTGAATATGGTTTGTTCAACAATCTGCCAGACAGTGCGACCGAATATTCAGATATTCGATCAAATTGAATATTCAAATAGTAAATTACTCGAATTGACTCAGCCCTATTCATTTGGTAAAAAAAAGGTACTGTTACAGTACATATACCTTCATGACACCTGGTGTTGAACCTTAGAGAATAATTTCGGCATCATGAAATTTTGTTGGGCTCGAATTCAGCTAATAACAAATGAATAATGTGCAGACACCAGTACGGTGATGTTTTCCCAATGAGATGGTTCATGTACAGTGCACGTTTGTGCGTACATGGACATACCTTCTGACATGTCTGAAGTCGTAGTCAGCAGGGCAGTACTCTGCATATCGCCGACTTGTACATGTACGTGTACATGTACTCGTAACTATACATGTATTTTCCACATCATTTTCAGTAAATCACCTGTACCGGTACATCATTACTGACCAGACAAAAGTTACCTGTAATTGTACCAGCCAAGGAGCAAAAATAACACCTCCACAGTTCCTGCTGGTCTGATACAAATACACATGAGCTGTACAAATACCGGTACATGCATGTACATGCATGTAGGCATACAGGAACACGTTGCATACCATAAAGTGCCTGTGCATACCGCTACAATGTGGAAATGAATTTCAATGCAAACACAAGACACATTAGGGGATGGAAGTTGAAAATACTGAGCACTTAGCCATGTACATGTATCGGTGTCAGAAAGCACTTTCACAGGTACATGTGCACGCGCAAGCATCACAAGCGATATGTCATGCTGCTAGATTTACATGTACATGTACAATGTAACATATGGATATGTGCAAGTACAGTATATGTACTCGTACGCATAATCTAATATACAGTGCATGTATACAGCGTGACTTCTGCTCAAGGTATTTTATCAATGAAAAATCAATGAACATGAGTAGCACATGTACTGCCTTTAATTGACTCTGTACAGGTAAATGTCACACACTGCAAGAACAATTTAAGACAAAATTCATGCAATGAGCGCATGTTCATTATTGCAATTTTATTGTATTTCAATTTTATTGAGTATCTTCAATGCACATCAATACACATGTACAAAGTACCGGTACATGGGTCTTTCTTTTATTATGGGGGCTAATGTGTATTTCAGGGACATCATAATTATCAGGACCATTTAAAACAAGACCAGTTTCACTTTCCCATTTAATTTTCATATGTATTTGTCAATTAATGTGTTAATTACATTAAATCCATTGACAGTAAAAAAATGCTGATTTACACAATACATGTACCGGTAACTGAAAGGGAAAACCTCATCGTTTCTCAGACTTTTTTCAGTATTCTGTGTGACATTTTTGATGACCTATTTCATAAGACATATTATACCACTGGCAAAACAAATAAATCATTCATTTTCTAACTACGCTATCAACAGAAAGGTAAATTATGATATTAGAAAAATCTCCTAATGAAATTCATTTTAATTGAGAATACAGGTGTCATCATAATCGGATATAACAACGTAACATTTTGTTCCTCCAGTTGTTACAAAGTTAAAATAATTTTTGGCTGTTAAAAAAAATGAAAAGCTGTAGTGATTTATTTCGAAAACCTAAAATATCAACTCTAAGTGCCCCCCAAAAAACCTCCTACTAACTCATATCTGCGATCCAAAACGTTTCTGAAGATATCCCTGTCAATTCTCGTCAAAAAATATTTTGGTTACTCGCGAAATTGTTATGTTGTAAACAAAAACGTTTGTGCAACTTCCAACGTTCCGTGGAGTCAGGATCATATTGCAAGCCTGCATGCACTGTCACGTGACCATCACATGACACAGACATGCCCAGTTCCCGCCATTTCTTCATCATCGAGAGACTTTGATCGAAGTTTTATCACTCACACGTTATGCAGTGACAAAAAGTTATGGGGTGGGGTTTTTTCTCGAGACACGAAGGTAAAATTTACTTGAAACTCAATGTATTTGCAGAAAAAAAGGATGAAAAAAGGTCGTAACAATGTCACAACATGCCAGCCAAGAGGTCCACTCGCAGCGTGCCATGTCAAGTCGGTACACATTCGCCGGCGACTGTGTTGTGAGCGGCTGAATATTTGGTGGCTGTGACCACATGGAAACAGTGCAATGCACATTACGCCTCTCAGGAAACAGTCACCAGCACGCATGTGCAGTGCTGACTCGGCATGCTGGTGCGATTTTGTGAATGGTCCGCTAAGCCTGCGTGCTGAGACGTTTTCAACATACATTAGTATACAGCTCAAATCAAGAAATTGGATGTAGGGATTTTGTTGAACTTTTTGGCATAAATGCTTTGTGACATCAAACTTTCTTCACATTCCACTTGCATAAAAATGTGAACCGGCATCGAAGTACACGTACATGTATCTCTGCAACTCTGGATTCTCTGAAATTTTCTTCATTATCCAGTAAAGGCAGAAGTTACGGTATGTTTTTAACTTTCAAGTAGACCTAGTGGGTGCGCGACAAATTTTTATACCCATTCAGTCATGACAGTCCAACCTCGTTAATAACAGCACTTTAAATACAAGATTGGCCTTTAACAAGAATTTTTTTATGCCCCAATACTTAGTTTTTCTTCATTTCCATTATAAAAGGCTTCTTTTTTTATTCACAAATGTTGAACCCACTGCAATATGTGCAATGTTTGGTGACAATTGTAATGCTTTATGACATCAAAATTGCTTCGCATTAATTCCCATTCATCAAAAATATGGACGGGTTTCAGAGTATCTTTGTATTCCTAATTTATTTTAGATCACTATTCGTTGACTGCAAACATGAAATGTTGTTGCAATTGTTAAACAAAATCGAATACAGTTCCCAGTGTAAATTAATGTTTGTATTGTGACAGTTTTGCCATGTGTAACAGAGAAACCGGTTTCTCTGTTACACGGGAAATGAGTCATAAAGCTCTTTAAAAAAACTTCAAAACACTTAATGTTTCTGGCAAAGGTGCACAAGCTAAATGGCATGCATACAGTACCTATGAGCTGTGCCATATATTCGCTATTTAAGCAACTTTGTGTTAAACCAAATGAAACTTTGCAAAACAATTCCAAAAATAGCCAAAAAGTGAACTTTACTCACAAAAAATGGCATGCACAGAACCATCCTACATGTACACATGTATTTAGTTTCTCTGTTACACGTCAAATAATTTGCTGCACCACTGCACAAATTGGGTCTGCACACGTCAAGTAGTTATTCAAAGCAAAAATCATTTACATTTAATGCATGAATGTATTATCAATTACATATCAACAAGTTTTGAATTTGTTTGAACAAGTTTGAAATTTTTACCACCATGTAACACATTTGGCCCCCTATTTAAAAGAAAGACCCACGTGCATATTAAAATAAACCTTTCATGAAACACATGAGCCATGTACGGTACATGTAGCTTTCTTCAAGGACAAAACTTTACAATGTACATGTACCAGTTACAGTCTTCATTATTAGCAGTTGGTTCCCCTCCCCCCCAAAAAATGAGGTCAGAATTTTTTAATTTTAGGGTTACAGATAGAAGGACCCTTTCGAGCCTCAATACTGATTTCACTTCCAGCCAATTTTAAATCTTATACAAATGATTCTGATTTGTGATTATTGCTGTGGCCACAAAAAAACAAAAAAGACACCCGCAATTTACAGCACCAACACACAGCTGCCAGAAAAAAGTTTGTCAAAAACTGCTGCCTTCAGAAAATTCCTTGTCAAAAACCTGCTTTTATTGTTATTTTTTTTTCACGCATTTCATGGGCTAGTAAAAATCTCTGCGGGCTAAAAAATCACAATTTACAAGCCTGGCGGGCTACTGTCAGAAAAAATAAAGGGCAAGCCCTGTATACATGTGACCTTTTATACTTTCACTTTATAAATCTATTAAACATGTACATATGACATATACTCGTACATAAGCCTACATACCGTATGAATGTATTGTGCAATGTAGATGCAATGAACGCACGTACAAATACATACATGTACATGTACAATTTTACAATAACCTACCTGGTACGAGTAAATTCACCGGTAAAAGACAACAAACATAAACATGTACATGTACCAGCACATGTACTCCAACACACCAGCACACGGTAGTTGCAGGGAAATATACTCCACATTTCACTTATTTTGTGGGGACCGAAAACGTTGTGGGGACTCAGGAATGTCCCCACAACACGACAACTCAGTTCAAATTTCCCTAAAAAAAGAACTTGTCCCCTGAATGCGGTGAATGCCTACCCATGTACTGAGCATGTGTATTTGTGCATGTGGCAAAAGTACCCAAAACAAATGAAATAATCTCACATTTTATTACAGATCAGAGACTGAAAGGCAGACAT